ATTCTCTATATATATATAATTATAGGGTTTGTTTTTTCTAAATTTATTTTAGATAACTTTATCTAATGTTCATCAAAACGACGTCGTTTTGGGGCTAAAATCATGTTACTTTTGTAATTTTAATTTATTTCAGGATTATAATAGTCTTTATCATTCTCAATTTTTAATTTTTCAACCCCAAAACGACGTCGTTTCGATGAACATTAGACAAAGTTGTCTAAAGTAACATCAGATACTTTTTTCCCATATTAGGCTTGACGTTTCCAATGCAAAAAGTTGTGATTCTGTTCATTCAACACAATCCCAAGATTCATAATAATTGTATTTTAATAAAAATTATTTCTGTTTTCAGTTTCAACAAAAATCGAAAAAGCTTAAAAACTTTTAACTTCTTCTGATATTGAAATCACGAATAAACAACTGAAACGCGGAGCAATATATACAGGACAACGATTGAAATTTTATCTTATCTTACATCGTTTAAGTGCAGCCTTTATATTTATATTAATTAAACCTCAATGAAGAAGGAATGGTCCATAAAATAATGTGAACTCATATAATATATATGGTCCATAAAATAAAATTATCACACACATAATTTATAATGATTAAATAAATAATATAATGAAATGTTAGTATAAATAATTAAATAATTTTATATGTATTATTTGATTGTTATTTTTGTTGCGACAATTGTAGGTACCTTTAGCAATTTTAGCAGCTAAATGGAAAAAAAAAAAAGCTTAATCCGATCTACATTTATGCTCTTTACTTAATTATGTTTTTTCACTTTGACTCTGCTGTGATTTATGAATTTAATATTTTATCATTGACTATCATTTTTTCACCGTTTTAAAAGCGAGTGTTATATTATTTTTAATTACAAATTAAACAATAAAAGTATAAATTAAATAATAAAACATATAAAATAGGTAGTAAAAAATTATCTTGTAATTTTTTAAAATTTTATAAATTTATTTTATCATTCATTATATAACATTTAGTATAAAATTTATAATATTAAAAAGTAATATGCTGTTCCTTTCTTTAGAGTTACAACAAAAATAAAACCCTTCATTTTTATTAGAAAAATGATTTATACATTCAAATTATGAGTTATACAAGAAATAATAAATCTATCTAAAAAAAGAAAAGATACATCTTTTAAAAAATATTATTAAATAAATTTTGTCATTAGATTTTATTATATTATATTTTACAAATGTTTCATATCAGGTAATAATTAAATCAAATGAATTTATAAATTCAATAAAGAAATTTGAAAGTGATAATTCTAAATGATAATTTTGCCTCAAACCCAAAGCGTATGTTGCGTGTTTTACTTGTCATTTTTTTGTACATACTTATCAAAATATTAAAGAGGGAAGGATTATCTATATATAAAATATCAAAATAATGACAATAATAAAAGAAAAACATATTTGAATTCATTAGTTGTTGAGAGAGAGAAATACAGTGTATAATAATATTATAGAATATCAAATTATATTATATATAAATTCTATTACATTTTATTTTCTTTAATTATACATATATAATTTCATATAAATATCATTTAATTTTTATAAAAGCCCAACATCAACATCCATAAGAATATTAAAAGACTGATTGATTACCAAAAAAAAAAAAGACTGATTGAAGAATCAAATTTTTTTTGACAATCACCAACTTTAAGTAATAATAAAAGGAATGTTAACTTAAAATTCTCTATAAATGTCATAAATCATACCGTGAAAGAAATTTTAAAAGACTGATTAAAGAATCAGACATAACAACACACCATTAACTGCCATTTATTAATCAATCAATTTCTCACCAAAACACAATTAAAATTTAAAAGAGAAAATTATAGATTAAACAAAAAAATATTTAAAATTATAAAAATTCAAATATAGTTGATACAAAATAATTTAAATTTGGAAATTAAATGAAAAAATAAGAAATGACATATTTATACTTTAAAAGAAAATAAATTAAAAATTTAACTTAAAAAATAATTCAAAAAAAGAAAAAAATTCGTATGAGTATTTTTTTTAAAAAAAGTAATATAAACGTTTTTAATTTATATGTATAACCAATTTAAAAAATATAAAATTTTAAATTAAAAGAGAAAAAGCGTACTTTAAAAAATATGTATAATTAATATAAAAGAATTTAAATTTTAAATTTTAATAAAAAATTAAAAATTTACATCTATGATTCTGTAAAAAATAAATTATTAAAATTTAATCACTATAAAAATGAATGACCATCCAGCTCATGCATCGCAAAAAGATATTTGCCATTAAATATTTGTACTTGATATTTATGGTGATTTAAACCACACAAAATGGGGAAAAAATAACAGTGAAGTGTAAATATATTCAAACATAAAAAAATAATAATTAAAGCCAACTTGGCAACACTTTAATTTGATCATAAATGATTTGACATTTGCTTGATGAAAAAGAAGGCCGCCTTGAATTGAAACTTCTATAAATAATCATGGGATAATTTCTCTACTTTTAAAAATTTCCCTCTATTAGCACATATAAATATGGGTTCGCTTTTTCTACAGTCAATGTAGATAACTTATCTATAGTGAGTCCAAAACGACGTCGTTTTGAGGCAAAAATCAAGATATTTTTTGTAATTGTAATTTATTTTAGGGTTATAATAGTCTTTTTTATTATAATTTTTTAATTTTTCAACTCAAAACGACGTCGTTTTGGGAGCGAATGTAGATAACTTATCTACATCACTTTAGACACATTAAAGCCTATAAATATTTAGACTAAAAATTTATAAAATGCATAATTTACTTAAAAACTATTTAGATTCTCATAAAATATAATGATATCAGTAATAAATCATAGATTTGTTTAAGTATACCGCTTTCATGATCAACTTTCATTAATAACTCCCACTATTTTCTCAATCGTAAATTGAAAGGCCATCTTTTAATTTTTCTACAAAATAAAAATAAAAGATAATGTAATAACTCTCACGAATTATGGTGTATTATGATGTAGTTGTATGCAAAATTAATTATCCCTCTGAATAACAGATTTTTGTTTGTGGTTGATATTTGCAAAGTTGTGTGTCAATGCTGTAATTTTTTTCACTTGGAATATAGAATAAAATAACAACACATTTTTTTGTAAATATAAGGTTTGCAGTGCGATTAACCAACCACGACGAACGACAAAAGTGTTGATCTTTTTTCCTGTGCATCGCACGGATAATATACTAGTTTTTCTAATAAAAATGAAGGGTTTTATTTTTGTTGTAACTCTAAAGAAAGGAACAGCATATTACTCTTTAATATTATAAATTTTATACTAAATGATATATAATGAATAATAAAATAAATTTATAAAATTTTAAAAAATTACAAGATAATTTTTTACTACCTATTTTATATGTTTTATTATTTAATTTATACTTTTATTGTTTGATTTGTAATTAAAAATAGTATAACACTCCCTTTTAAAACGGCGAAAAAATGATAGTCAATGATAAAATATTAAATTCATAAATCACAGCAGAGGCAAAGTGAAAAAACATAATTAAGTAAAGAGCATAAATGTAGATCGGATTAAGATTTTTTTTTCCATTTAGCTGCTAAAATTGCTAAAGGTACCTACAATTGTCGCAACAAAAATAACAATCAAATAATACATATAAAATTATTTAATTATTTATACTAACATTTCATTATATTATTTATTTAATCATTATAAATTATGTGTGTGATAATTTTATTTTATGGACCATTTATATTATATGAGTTCACATTATTTTTTTAAGATGAAAATTCATAAGTCAAATATAATACATTGAATTGGATAAAATATATTCAAAACTATTTATTTTTACATCAATTTATGTAAAGAAAAAACATATAATATATATGATATTTTTTTAAAGGCTCATGGGTTGCCCAACTCAAAGGATTTTATTGGCTTTTTGCCCGGCTCTAACCCACTTGAGCTTGTATGGGTTGACTTATTCAATAACTCACTTCTCTGTCACACTCACATAAAAATAAGTGAATTCCACTAATACTTTTTCTCTTTTCTTTTTACAATGGAGGCAACTAGGGGTGCTAAACGAACCAGGGGTCTTTCAGGGGCTTTTTGGCTCGACTCGTGAAGGTTACATGTCTAAATTTGGTTGTTGGCACCAAACTTGAACTTGTATAAAAGCTCGTTTAATAAAAAGATCTCAAGCTCTAATTCAAAAGCCCGGCCTTAGAGCCTCTCAGACTGGCCTAGTATATTATTTTATTTTTTTTGTTTTATATTTTTTATACTACTTGTAAAAGCCATCTCTTTCTCCTCAATCCATTTCATCCCATTTTATTGGCTAAATAGACTTTTTGAATGATTTTGTTCTATATTATGTTGATTGGATATACATTGAATTTATGAATATTTATGGAATTACTACTGTTGTTGATTGTATATTCTGTTTGGATAAATTTTTGTTGTCTTATTTTTTTAAATAGGCTAACAGACTAAACCAGACTTTTATATTTTGTAAATAAGTCAGGCTATAGACAGATAGTTATATTTATAACAGGTAACAGACTTAGTCAGAGTGACACATTTAAACACAGGCTTAACCTTTTAAGATCAAAGCTCGACTCGACTTAACCCGTTAACACCCCTAGAGGCAACTCACTTTTAAGTAAGTGTGAGAGATAAGTTTTCTCTGTAGCAAAAATAAAAATATTTTTTTCCTATATTTACATATGATTTACATTTGTGGGTTTATGGGAACCAATCTTGAGATATCGTGTATTTGATCGATGAAATGCCCGAATGAAGTGATACTCTCTTACAACAAGTTGTGTTTCTTGAATCAAGCAAGCAAAGATGGTTAGTATGTTACCATTGTAACTAATAGGTTGATTCTACAATGGTTTCAGTGACAGAGCATCCCAGGAGTAGCTTCACACTACATTCTTAAAAGTTGTAAGTTGTTAAAAGGCCAAAAGTAAGCACACTGGCTTATAGCCGCAGCTGTTGTCATGAGCATCTTTAGCTATATTTTCAGACATTTAAATTCATGTAGTTAAAATATATTTAAAAAGACAAACCTTGGGATAAATGATTAGTAACACCATAATTATTATCTAGTGAAGATAAATGAGGAGTGCAACATTGTGGAGGTAACAAGCAATAGAATATTGAAGTTCTCAAATCACATATATCTTGAACGTTAGAAACCAGAAACCACAGATTTAGCTAATGCTCCAAATCTCCAATGTAGAAGTCTTCAATCATGTCAAAGACTCGAGTGGCATGCTGTGGCCTGCAATGTGAAAGTAAAAAGTGACGGAAGAGGATGACAAGATGATAGTAAAATAAAAAAAAAGGTTTTTATGGACTTTACTGCCAAAGCAAGTACAGAGAAAACAAATGGAGAAATGATCAAGCAAGGGATCAAGCTTTGTTAAAGAGGGGTCTCTCACTTTTCCCTAGTTTTGAAACTGACATACGATTAATGTTGGAAGTTCAACTTAATAAAGTGTTGTGTTATAAGTTATGTATCATATTGCATCTATGTCCTGGGAAAAGCAACTGTTGAGATATATAGTCCCACATTGATTGGATGAGCAACTAATATGGCCTTTATAAGGCCTTGGGCACTCCCACCCCTTGAGCTAGCTTTTGGGGTGGTGACCTCAAGGTTCTTTACATGGTATCAGAGCCTCACCGTCCCCCGCTTTAAAGTGGAATTAAAATAAATAAAAATAGCACAAAAGGTAAACAAAAAATTGGGCCTGTGCAATTCCACGCTTCTAGCCTAAAAAGGCTCTTGCGTGAGGGGGCGTGTTGAGATATATAGTCCCACATTGATTGGATGGGCAACTAATATGGCCTTTATAAGGCCTTGGGCACTCCCACCCCTTGAGCTAGCTTTTGGGGTGGTGACCTCAAGGTTCTTTACATATTAGGAGTTGAGACAGTTACTAACTGTATCAACGTTCTAACTAATCTCCGTGAAATTAGGAGCTAAATTAACTAACACTAAAATTGTATGATAGAAAATACAGCTGATAGCAGCATACTGACCATAAAATTTAGAAGCTTTTTACTAGTTTGGCTGGTAGAGCATGTGAAAGAGAACACATGAAGTGCTTATTTTGGATGAGAAGGAAGATGTTACTGTTGAATTTGATACATCATCTGAAGGGGTTATAAATTATAATGACGCTCAAAGGATGCTTAGCTCATAGTTGTAGTCATATAGCATCGCATCATTCATTTTTTATCAAGTGAAAACCAATATATTATGTATGGCCAGATAACCTTCAACAGAGTCTACAAAGATCATTGTAATATATTGAAATAATGTGACAAGATGAGAATTTAAGGTCAGGTCATGTTATTATGCTATTGTTAGATATAAAATCATTACTGCGCTTTCATCTAACAGCATAAACTTTTGGAATAATTAATTTGCAGCCCACATAATAGGAATTTAACTCTTCATGTTTATTCAAAAGCATTCGTGGCAATGTTAGAAACTTTATGCTTCTGACTCTTCCTTCCAGTTCCCCCAAAACCCTTATTTATATCTAGAAAAAGAGAGTAACATCAGTAGTTCATGAGAAAAATAGTCACGGGAACCTTCTACTCGAACCTTGGTTGGTTAAGTCTAAACAGTTAACCTATAAGAACACGGTGAACATGCTTAATCCAGGTACATATCAAGAGAAAAGCAAGAAATCTTTTATTGGGAAAAATGAGACAAATTTTCAGTAGGAAAACAAATATACAAAGGAGATGAATCCAGAAAAGTATCTACATAACAGACAAGCAATGCGTAAAAAAGAAAGAATGCATACCCAAAAAAACCTTCAGTTGAATCATCTCCAGCATGTGCTAGAATGGCATCACCACCTGGATGTTCCTCCACATATGAGGTAACATCATATACCTACAGTGGGATGAAAGCCCAAGAAATGTAAATTATAGTGGTAAAATGGGAAATCATACCAACAGCAAATACTGTAGCACAGATAGGATCGAATGGTGAACAGAAGACTTGATATGGACATACTATTTGGTTTTAAACCAAATAAGTAGTGCATTCACAAGGTGCATCATATTAAACAGCAATAAAAGATCATACCTTGTTCTCGATGATTATCCAACAATCTGTTCTCTTGTTATGCAATGACACTTCAGTTCTACTGTAGGATTTTGATGCCTACAAGCAAAATACAGTATAGAAAACATGATAAAAATTCAATAATAAAGTTATCACTCACGCAAAATTATGTTTGAGCAACCATCCCCTATAAATTGGTAAAGTCGACATATTTTGTTCACAAGCAATTTTGCGCCCGACCCATACACACATTTACTTCCTGTCCAATCAAATTATTCACTGTCAGTGTTTGAAATGAAGCTTAAGGTAAGTGTAACTCCATCTTACCAAACTAACTTCAGGCTCAAATAATATAAGAAAAAAGAATGATAGTTTTCCTTCTAAATGCTAAGTGGGTCCAATCTTTCATAAGGCAAATTGTAAGCAGAAAAGATGGTGGTTCCACTCAATAAGCAAGGTTCTGAAGAATAGCCCTGAATTTCAAAATTTCAACCCAAAGCACAAAATGATAAAACCCTGATCCTTACTCAGACAATCACACTATGATAAAAGCTGATTTAATAGCCTCCTAAATGTTACACCTTTGCTTTTCTGTTGTTCCCAACTCAAATAAGTATGAAGTCTTCCAGAAATCAATCAAGCCATATCATTAACATACGTTTTCTTCATTTGGGGTAAGGACAAAACACTCAAACAACACCAAATCTTCAGAAATTTATCTCACTAATTGCGTGAAGAACATAAACCAAGACATTAAAACATTTAACTTGTTGGTTTCACCAAGATCCGAAATGTATTTGAACAAAGCCAGAGAGGCTTTTGCTCTTCCTCGGTAAAGGAAAATAGAAACACAAATAGAAATCACTCAATTCAACATAATGATTCTTTCACCTATGTAATAGCAGAATTCATAGTACCAAACTAAGCTATAATGAATACCTTATCATTGTTTAAGTTGAACTGAGCTTTTCCCTCATACCCTGAGAAGGGTGCAAAGAAATCATATAAAAACACATACATAAATAGCAAAAATTCAAAAGCATAGATAGATAATATCATATACAATATAATAATAAAAGGAGTAAAAAAAAAAGTACCAGTTTTGCGGTGTCGTGGGGTCATAAGAACAAAAGCCACGAGGAAACCCAGAAGCAATGCGAGTACAACCACCAATAACATTTTGCGAAATTCGGCGACTTTGGTTGTTAATCCAATCTGTAACAGCTAAAAAAACAAAAGGGTATGCAAATCATATTAAGGAGTGTTCAATTTCATATTCACAACATGTTCCAAGCACCTTTGGAGAGATAGAAACACAAGAATACAAGCATGTTCCAGTCACCACTCACCAATCAAGTTACAAACATCCAACACAAAGAATGTACGAAAATGTCACCACTCTCCAATGGTGAAAAAGCCGCGAGTCAAGACAAGTAAGAACACAATCAAGTTCCAAGCACAGAGAGAGAGAGAGAGATGATAGGTTTTGGGCCAGTAATTGGGTTGAGGCTTCAATCTGCAAATTCGACTGCCTTCTTCAAGCGGCCCAAAATAAGATTGGCCCAAAGTGGCCCAAATTGAGACGATAATCTCATAACCATAAATTACTAAGGGTTTAGTGTGTTTTCAGGAGATAATTTATTTTCTGTAAGACCAAAACGACATCATTTTAAATTTAAAAAGGGTATTTTTTATAATTATACTTTGAAGGATTATATTAATCTTTATTATTTTAATTGTTTTATTTTTAACCCAAAATAACGTCTTTTAAATTCACCAAAAATAACTTTGTCTCGAAAAAACACTTTTCCCAATTACAAAATAGGGTACATTATCATTTAAGTTAATGTCAGATTCAGATAAGTAGGTCAAGTTTTCTGGTTATACAATCATATAGTAATTTACGATTTGATATTCCATTTAATATATATTACGGTCTAAAGTTTCTTCTCATGTTGTGACTCAACTAGTGGTGGATCCCATATTTATTAAAAAATAAAATAAGAAAAAAAAAAGCTTTGCACGTTAATTAAAGGGTCACAAATTCTCATGCAACATAAGAAAATGTTTTTTCTCAATGGGGTTTGATTTTCTGATGTTGCATGAGAATTAAATTCTCATGTTGTGACTCAACTAGTGGTGGGCCCCACATTTATTACAAAAAAAAAAAGTTTTGCACGCAAATTGAAGAGTCGGAACATGAGAATTGAATTCTCGTAAAAAATATTTTTCCATTTATTAATTATGTAAACAGTTAGATGTAAATAAAATTGACTAACAAAGCAAATCGTAGAATAAAAAAAAGTATTTAATTTTCTCAAAAAAATAATAAATAACAGTCTGAATTGATGCCAAGATTAAGACTAAAAGCAACATTCGCCCTATCTGATTCGGTTTCTATCTCATCCTTTCGTTTTAGATTTTTTTAATACAGAATAAAGGTTTGTATATTTTCCTGCAATTGAAGTAAAGTATTCTTCAGAAATGTACCCAGAAAAAGGTATTCTTCAGAAAAAGAAAATTATATACATTATGCAACAATAAAGGAAAGTAGAAACAATGGGAAAAAAGAAATATTAGAACTTGAAACTACCCATCTCTTCAGCTTTATAAGAACTAGGAAGGCTCAGAATTGGTAACATAAGTATGAAGGGATAAAGTTAGATACTACACCAACTAAATTATAATTTATGAACTAACATATTAGAATTTATACCTTCATTTTCTTAGCAATTTTTTCATTTTTGATGCCACGTAACTTCATGTGATATAATATAAGTTGGTGTAATATGTACTAGATAGATAGGACGAAAAATTTATGCAATTGGTATTGGAAATCGACAATCACACAAATCGCAAACGAAAAGAGTTTTCGTCAGCATGCGAAGTATGAGTCATATCCAACATTTCGAAGGGTATCGTTGTGATCTTGTGTATGCATGCACTGTTGTAAATAATATTGATTTAGTTTTTATTTAGTCGTTTATTGTTGTATTGGGCCAAGCCCTTTGTTGTATTGGGCCAAAGCCTTTAGGTTAAAAGTAGGTCAAATACTCTCTATAAATAGAGAACCCCTTGTACACATTATTTACAATTCTCAAATATATCAGAATACCCTTTTTCAAGTTGGTATCAGAGCTCTCGATCTTGAGGGCTTTGCTTCCGCGCCTACGAAACCTTTTTTTGTTTTTCCATCTCTCGCTGCCATCAGCCGCCACCGGAAAAATTTTCCGGGGACCTCTTGGACCGAGAGATCACTGCTTCCTCAATAACAAGACCCCAAACTGAACCGTTCAACAAACAGAAAGCGTGTTTCACTATCTAAGAACACTGTTCATCGCGATTGACCTTCTTTCTGACGGCCATTCAACTCCGATCAGCCCCAGATAGGATCGCAACCCTTGGACGACCTTCGCCTGAAAAACCCAGCCAGATCGGACGTCGGACGCGCCTCCACGCGCCGCTTCTTTCTCTGCGCGTGAATCCCACGCGCCGCCAGCTTCACCGGCGCGTGACAGCGCGTGACGGTTGCTATTGGCTGCGGACCGGTGCAGTCTTGATCGACTCTCCAAGCTCGTTCTGGATCTGTGCTCACTTCTTTGATCGGACCTCGTTTGGTAATTTTTCGTGATTTTTTGGCTTCTTTGTACTATTCCTTGAGTTGTTTTGCAGTATGGCCGCTTCCGATGGTGATTCAACTCTAAACTTATCTGAAAAAAATTCTACCTCATCTGTGGTGACCCCTCTTGGTCACAATGATCTTCCAAGTCTACATCAGAGTTATCGATTTGACGGATCAAATTATTTGTCATGGTCTCAGTTCATTCGTACTACCATCAAGAGTCGCAATAAGATTGCTCATCTTGATGGCCCTGCTCCTGCTGCCACGGATCCCGATTTTGCTGTTTGGGATAATGAGGATTCTCTTATCATGACTTGGTTGTGGAATTCGATGACTCCTGAAGTGGGTCGTCATTGTATGTTCTTGTCTTCTGCTATGGAGATTTGGGAAACTGTCCGCTCCACTTATTCCTTGAAACAGGATATGGCTGCGCGCTATGAATTGCGCAATAAAATATTCACTACAAAACAAGATTCTTTATCAGTGACTGAGTACTATGGCACCTTGAAGGAGTTATGGACTGAACTTGATCAATTTCAGAGTTTGAAGATGAAATGTACTGCAGATGCTACTGCTTTAGCCAAGGAGGTGGAAAATGAGCGTATTTTTGATTTTCTTGCTGGTTTGAATTCCGAGTATGATCCTATTCGGGTTCAGATACTTGGCAAAGAAACTTTTCCATCCCTTTCTGCTGTTTTCAATACTGTTCGGGGAGAGGAGAATCGTCGGGGTGTTATGATGAACCCTGATAAATCTGTCATGTTATCATCAAAAGATGGTGCTGCTTCTAAACCCACTGATGGGTCTGCTATGATTTCAACAAAAAAGGATGGTTCTACTTACAGGAGTTCCTTTCCAAAATATTCTGATGGAGCATCTTCTAGACCTAAGAAAGATGATCGCTGGTGTTCTTATTGTAAAAGAACAGGTCATATCAAGGATCTATGCTATCGCCTCCATGGAAAACAAACTGTCTTAGAAAAGATGGCAAGGTTGCGTGGTCAAGCGCATTTTACTTCTTCTGATATAGCTCCTACACCTAATGAGACCCAACCTGCATTTCGTCCAGATGAGTTGGAACGACTTCGAACCATACTTGATTCTCTGAGTAAGCCATCTGGTACTAGTGATTTGGCTATGACTGGTATGAGCTCCAAAATTTCTTCTTTTCTTACTTCATGTATTGATTTTAAACATTCTTGGGTTGTTGATTCTGGTGCTACTGATCATATGGCTTGTTGTGCTGACCCATTTGTTTCTTATAACCCTACCATTGGCACTCATACGATAGCCGTAGCTGATGGCTCCCATACATCAGTTGCGGGTTCTGGTAACATAAAATTACAGCCTTCCTTACATCTCAAAGATGCTCTTCATGTCCCTAAACTTTCTACTAATCTTCTTTCTATTCATAAAATCACAAAAGATTTAAATTGCACTGTAACCTTCTTTCCTACTCACTGTGTTTTTCAGGATCTCGCCACAGGGAAGACGATTGGGGGTGCTAAAGAGCAAGGTGGGCTGTATTATCTGGTGTCACAATCTCCTGCAACTCATGTTAAGGATCACATCTTACTGTCACATGGCCAGTCAACTGCTGATTCTCTGATTTGGCTTCATCATAAGCGCTTGGGACATCCTCCATTTAGTTTACTCAAGTCTTTATTTCCGTCTTTGTTTTTGTCTAAGTCTGTTGAGTCTTATCATTGTGATGTTTGTGAGTTTGCTAAGCACCATCGTGTGTCTTTCCCTTCTAGTATTACTAAAAGTGTTGAACCTTTTGATCTTATTCATTCTGATGTTTGGGGTCCTTCTAAGGTCCCACATTCTTCTGGAAATAAATGGTTTGTTTCTTTTATTGATGATTGCACTCGTGTAACTTGGGTTTACTTAATGCATGAAAAGTCTGAGGTACCAAAACTGTTCTTTCAATTTTATAAAATGATTGAGACTCAATTTTGTAAAAAAATCAAAAGACTAAGGACAGATAATGGTACTGAATATGTCAATCACTCTTTTTCACAATTTATACAAAATCAAGGTATGATTCATGAACTTACATGTGTAGACACCCCTCAACAAAATGGGGTTGCTGAAAGAAAAAATCGTCACCTTCTTGAAGTTGCTCGTGCCTTATTGTTTCAAACACATGTACCCAAATGCTATTGGGGAGATGCCATTCTTACTGCAGCATTCTTGATCAATCGTCTACCCACTCGGGTCCTCGATCATGTAAGTCCTATTCACTCCATGACTTCTTTTTTTCCTTCTATTCCAACTTTGCAAAGTCTTCCTCCTCGAGTGTTTGGGTGTGTTGTCTTTGTTCATATTCATAAACAGCATCGCAGTAAGTTGGATCCTAGGGCTCTTAAATGTGTCTTCCTTGGATATGCTCCTGATAAGAAGGGCTACAAGTGTTATCACCCTGGAAGTCGGAAGTTTTTTGTTTCTATGGATGTTACATTTCAGGAATCTGAGTCCTTTTTCCAAGGTCCTCATCTTCAGGGGGAGAATGATTCACCAGAAGACTCATCACCTTCCTTCTTTGAAACTTCAGTGTCTACTCCTTCACCTGTGTCAGTGTCACTTCCTCTTGTTCCTGTTCCTAATGTGTCTATGTCTGATCCTCCTATGACTGATACATCAAGTACACAAGAGATACGGAAGATTGTAACACCTGAATTGATATATCAAAGAAGGAAACAGCCCACATTGCCTCAACAGCAACCTCAATCGTCTGAACCACTGGTAAGTCCTGAATCTCATATTTCTGATCATGATACTTCTGATGACTTACCCATTACTACTGCTTCTGATGATTTACCCATTGCTTTAAGAAAAGGAAAAAGATCTTGTTCCAAGAAATCTTGTTCTTCCTGTCCCTCTTGTACTCAATACCCTATCTCCCATTTTGTTTCCTCTGCTAATCTTTCTGTGCAGCACAAAAGCTTTGTTTCAGCACTAGATTCTACTTCAATCCCAAAATCAGTACATGAAGCTTTGAAAGATGGGAATTGGGCTCAAGCCATGCAAGAGGAGATGAATGCGTTGGAGAAAAATAAAACATGGGAGGTTATTGATAGACCCAACGGAAAGAAAACAGTAGGGTGCAGATGGGTTTATGCCCTAAAATATAATTCTGATGGCACTCTTGAGAGATACAAGGCTCGATTAGTCGCCAAAGGTTACACTAAAACCTATGGCATTGACTATGAAGAAACCTTTGCTCCAGTTGCAAAGATGAATACAGTGAGAATCTTGTTGTCCCTTGCTGCCCATTACAGTTGGGATATAAATCAATTTGATGTGAAAAATGCTTTCCTCAATGGTGAGTTAGAAGAAGAAGTCTACATGGAAATCCCGCCTGGTTTTGATTCTGTGAAGGGGGAAAATAAAGTTTGTCGATTAAAAAAGGCCTTGTATGGATTAAAGCAGTCACCTCGTGCTTGGTTTGGGAGGTTTACTAAGGTTATGATGACCTTAGGATATAGACAGAGTCAAGGAGATCACACTCTTTTCTTCAAGCACTCCCAAAACGGGAAGCTTACTGTGCTCCTTGTATATGTTGATGATATTATTATCACAGGTGATGATTTTGTGGAGAAACAGATTCTGCAGACACGGCTTGCCTCTGAGTTCGAAGTCAAAGACCTTGGGAAACTGAGATATTTCCTAGGGATAGAAGTAGCTCATTCAAGCAAAGGAATTTTTATCAGCCAAAGGAAATATGTTCTTGATCTTCTCAAAGAAGCAGGAAAGCTCGGGTGTAAACCCTCTAATACTCCTATTGAGCAGAATCACAAGATGGGCTATGAAGAAGAGAGTCCTCCAGTTGATAAAGGACAATATCAACGGCTAGTTGGGAAATTGATATATCTGGCCCATACTAGACCAGACCTAGCTTATGCTGTTAGTGTTGTCAGTCAGTTTATGCACGATCCAAAGGAAAAACACATGCAGGCAGTAGAGAGAATTCTTCAGTATCTTAAAGGTACTCCTGGTAAAGGATTGTTATTCCGACGTGATGGCAATCTATCTTTAGAAGTCTACACAGATGCTGATTATGCTGGATCCATGACTGACCGTCGTTCTACCACTGGTTATTGCATGTTTCTTTGCGGTAACTTGGTGACATGGAGAAGTAAGAAACAAGATGTGGTTGCCAGATCAAGTGCAGAAGCTGAATTTCGAGCTATGGCTCAAGGCATTTGTGAGTTACTGTGGCTGAAAATTGTACTTGATGATCTCAAAATAAAATGTGAGGGACCTATGAAGCTGCTATGTGATAATAAGTCCGCTATTTGTATAGCTCATAATCCAGTCCAACATGATCGGACTAAACATATTGAGGTCGACCGCCATTTCATCAAAGAAAAACTTGATAGCGGGTTGATTACCACTCCATACATTCCCACTGGACGTCAATTAGCTGATCTATTAACAAAGGGGCTTCCTTCGGACAGATTTCAAGAACTTACTAGCAAGCTGGGAATGATAAATATCTATTCCTCAGCTTGAGGGGGAGTGTTGTAAATAATATTGATTTAGTTTTTATTTAGTCGTTTATTGTTGTATTGGGCCAAGCCCTTTGTTGTATTGGGCCAAAGCCTTTAGGTTAAAAGTAGGTCAAATACTCTCTATAAATAGAGAACCCCTTGTACACATTATTTACAATTCTCAAATATATCAGAATACCCTTTTTCAAGTTGCACACAATGCAAAAAGAAAGAAAAAAAGTCAAGACATACATATTCCAGTCCTGTGAAAATTTCAACACAAAACTTATCAGAATAAAATGTACTAGATAGATAGGACGAAAAATTTATGCAATTGGTATTGGAAATCGACAATCACACAAATCGCAAACGAAAAGAGTTTTCGTCAGCATGCAAAGTATGAGTCATATCCAACATTTTGAAGGGTATCGTTGTGATCTTGTGTATGCATGCACACAATGCAAAAAGAAAAAAAAAATCAGGACATACATATTCCAGTCCTATGAAAATTTCAACACAAAACTTATCAGAATAAAAGAATAAATACTATGAGGACAATGATGGACGAAAGAATAATGCAGGTTATAATAAAGTATTTAATGTCACACTGAGAGGGCAAGCTGTGATGCTATTCCAGATTGTTCAACAAGCTCTTCATTTTTTTTCTTACACATTTCATATCATTCACAAATCACAAGGAACAGAATAAAGGTATGAATAAAAGCCAAAAACTTTTCATGTAACGTTTATCTCCATTAATATTCCAAGCGGTCCCAATTAGAGAGAACATAACAACAGAACAAAAACAGAGATGGGTTGTTGTTTCCGTGGCTCAAAAACACAACCACCAATGGAAAGAAGAACCTCCATGTCTGTTGTAAGTGTTGGAGAATTCTCAAAACCCAAAAGTGTCAAACAAGAAGTTCTGATACAAATTCCAGGATGCAGAGTTCATCTGATGGATAAAGGAGAAGCTGTTGAACTGGCTCAAGGCCAGTTCATGATGATGAAAATCATGGATGAGAACGTGCCTCTAGCTACCATCATAAAAGTAGGAAATGATGTTCAGTGGCCTTTAACAAAAGATGAACCAGTGGTGAAGGTTGATGCTTTCCATTACCTGTTCTCATTGCCTGTGAAAGATGGTGAGCCTCTTAGCTATGGTGTGACCTTTCCAGAACATAGTTGTGGAAACATGGGTTTGCTGGATTCGTTTCTGAAGCAGTACTCTTGCTTTTCTGGTTTGAAATGGAGCAAGAAGAATGATCTTGATTGGGAGGAGTTTGCTCCGAGGGTTGAAGATTACAATCATTTTCTGGCCAAGGCAATTGCTGGAGGGACTGGTCAGATTGTTAAGGGTATCTTCATGTGCACTAATAATTACACCAACCAGGTTTGTTTTTATTAATACTTATTATATGAATCTTGTGTGAGTAATGGAGCAACGGTGCGATTGCTCTTTGTAACCAGAAGGTTATGAGTTTGAGTCTGGAAACAATCTCTTTGCAAAAATACATGTAATGCTAAGGTTATGTATAATCAACCCTCACCCCTAGCTCGCAGGTCGGGGAGCTTGTGCCCTGGCTTTGCCTTATGAGCCTTGTAATTTCTTGAAGCTAGGAAGAATACATGTGTGTGAGTGAAAAAATATTGGTAATATTGTGTCAAGGTCAAATTGCAAGGTGTGAGACTTGTGACCCACGTCTCATGTGGGTTTTATATGGGTTTGGACTCTGATCACACCTCAATAGCTAGTTCTTGGAGTGTGTTAGATAATATGGAGAACTATGAAATTCTCACTCAACAACTAGCTTTTGAATTTGGTTGTAACTAGGAAGTTTAATATTATAATGCCTTTAAGGTCTGAGATGTTATGTTCCTAAAGGATTTGTTCTTCTTACTAAAAGAAAACTTTAGTTTATATTATAACTCCCCTGTAAAGAACTTTGGAATACACCACTCCAAAAGCTAGCAACCTTGGGATACACCACCCCAAAAGCTAGCTCAAAGGGTGGGAGTGCCCAAGGCCTTATAAACTTCACATACAACTAATGTGGGACTATATATCTCAACACACCCCCTCACACAAGAGCCCATTGGGCTTGAAGAGTGGACAATGCAACATCCACATTAGTTGCACATACAACCAATGTGGAACTATATATCTCAACACGCCCCCTCACACAAGAGCCCATTGGGCTTGAAGAGTGGACAATGCAACAGGCCCAGCCTACCTGTGCTAAGAAACTCCACAAGAGAAAGTGGGGGACGACGAGGCTCTGATACCATGTAAAGAACCTTGGGATACACCACCCCAAAAGCTAGCTCAAAGGGTGGGAGTGCCTAAGGCCTTATAAACTCCACATTAGTTGCACATACAACCAATGTAGGACTATATATCTCAACACGCCCCCTCACACAAGAGCCTATTGGGCTTGAAGAGTGGACAATACAACAGGCCCAGCCTACCTGTGCTAAGAAACTCCACAAGAGAAAGTGGGGGACGGCAAGGCTCTGATACCATGTAAAGAACCTTGGGATATACCACCCCAAAAGCTAGCGCAAAGGGTGGGAGTGCCCAAGGCCTTATAAACTCTACATTAGTTGCACATACAACCAATGTGAGACTATATATCTCAACACTCCCCCAGTCCCCCTCTTTATTTTAAAAGTAATCAGTAACCTTTTCATCCAAAACTTATTTTGAAAATCAGGTGCAAAAAGGAGGGGAAACGATCCTAAATAGTGCTGCAGATAAGAAAAATGGTGTAGTAGTGAGGGAAAGCATGAGCAACAAGACTGCTGGTGCCACAAAGAAGAATGGGGTCAACGAAAACCTCAAACGGTATTTAAAAGTTCAAACTGGACACATATTACAACAATACTCAGTGAACATGTGATTGATTATATCCTATAAGTAATGATTTGCTATTAAGGATAATGAGTGTTGTCCTTGAAATTTTCATCACCCCAATTTTTAAGGGGACACAATCTGACTCTAATTATTTTCATGTTTGCAATCTAGTGTAAGAAAGCTGTCAAATATGACAGAAAAGTTAACCAAATCTTTGCTTGATGGTGTTGGAATAATGAGTGGATCAGTGATGGCTCCTATGGTTAAATCCCAACCAGGACAAGCATTCCTAAGGATGCTCCCTGGTGAGGTGCTTTTGGCTTCTCTGGATGCTGTCAGTAAGTAAAGCCTCTCATAAAACCAAACTTAATTTATGATCTTAATAAGGCTAGCATGTTCTTCCTTTTATGGCTAGCAACACCACCTAATCTTATTCTTTTAAACAAGCAGCATCAACTTGATTTCTTTGTTCTCTTTTAATGCCGCAGACAAGGTTTTTGAAGCAGCTGAAGCTGCTGAAAAACAAACCCTTTCTGCCACCTCTCAAGCTGCAACCAGAATGGTTTCTAACAGGTAAAAAACATTACATTGCATTGAACAATACAGTTGAACTTTATAGTTGGATCACATTGTCATCTACTTGATTTCTATGTTCTCTTTCAAGTTTGGCTTAAATATACTTTTGGTTTCTCTAGTTTCACTAAAGTTCACTTTTAGTCCCTTAATTTTAATTGTAACAATGTTACAGTATAATTTTTAAATTGATGCAATATTAATCCTCTTGTAAAATTAATCTTTTATAGTGGTACTTTTTTTTTTTGGCTGATGTAGCATTTATTCTACCATATTAATTTTATATCAGCAAAATCAGTAAAAAACAATGCACATCATAAAATTTTATAATACATGAGCAAAAATAGTATCCATAGTTAACAAAGATACCTTGCTTATCAATATATATATATACATATAACTAGACCTGGATTCATTGGGAAACAGGTATGGAGAAGAAGCAGGAGAGGCTACTGAGCATGTGTTTGCAACTGCAGGACATGTTGCTAACACTGCATGGAATGTCTCTAAGATAAGGAAGGCCATTAATCCAGCTTCTTCAGCAACCACCACAGGAGCACTCAGAAATGCTGCCAAGAATAGAAATGTTAAATATTAAAATCCAATCATGTTGCTTTCTTTATATTCGAAAAAGATATATATATATATATATATATATATATATATATATATATATATATATATATATATATTTATTGCTTTCTCTTTTAGGTTTTTGTATTAAAGTGTGCTGTATTATAGATGAAGAACATCTCTACATGGAAAAGCTCCAAAATGGAATGTAAGAGAACAATGTTGCTTTCTTTTTAATCTTTTAAAAAAAAATTATGTCTTCTTCTTAACATTTCATTTACACATTCTTTTGCCAGTAATATTTAATGTTACTTATATATAAGGGTGTCAAAACAGGTTATGACATGCAGATCAACCCACGACACAACATGAAAAATTCGTATTCGGATTAATCTGTAAAAAAATTCGTGTCGTGCTCGGGTTGAGAAAAATGACTAGCAAAATATTTGTATCGTGTCATGTCCCAAATTCATGTCAACCTATATTTATTTTAATTTATTTATTATTTTTTCAATTTTTTTAATTTTGACCCATTTTTTTTAATTTTTTTATTAATTACCACTTTGACCTCTAATTTATGTGTTATTCGTGTCGTATCAATCCTCAACAAATTTGTGTCGTGTTCGTATTAAAGATTTTGACACGAATAAAAATTTGTTTTGACACCCCTACTTATATATCAAAAGAAGTTTTAATATTAAGAGTAATTCTTTTGGGAGGAATAGTCTATTATAAATATTTAAATTAACAATTACCATTTGTAAAGGCATTATGCTAATATCAAATAAAAATGGCGTAGGACCACCTCAATTTGGGATTTTAGGTTATAGTCTATTCAATTTCTAATTTCCAGAAATATCTTAATAATGGCCTTTCTTAACTTTATTTTTAGTGAATTTATCTTTTCTGCAACATTCATGCTTTTAGTCAAATATGGGTAAAGTTTAATTCTTAAAAAAATTATTTGGATCAAACAAATTTTGTCGTAATATATTTTTCATTTATTTGTGATTTGCTTTTTATATTTTTTTCATTTTTTTATATACATCTTTTTTTAAAGGATTTAATATTATGTCATTTTAAGTAATGAATACCTTATCAGAAAGGGTGCACTGGTCAACAATGTTAATATACTAACCCCTTATCAGGCCTAATTTCTCCCCCTTACGTCGAATTAAGTTATACATCGTTTTGATGTATTAAGGGATTCTGCTATATAAACTTATACTATACGATGGTCACACCAAACAACTGAAAATGTCATAACGTATAGTATAAGCTTATACTATCAGACCTTATACGTTGCACCAAACATGCCCTAGTTCCAAGCAGAGAGAGAGAGCGCGCAGAGAGAGATGAGAGGTTTTGGGCCAGTAATTACAGGCCTGGATTAGATTTTGGGCTCAAATCGGCCTGGATAGAATTGGGCTAAGGCTTCAATTTAAAAATTGGACTGCCTTCTTCCAGCGGCCTGAATTTCCAAAATGGTGCTTAATTTTGCGACGCGATTTGACCAATTACGCATTAGTACTGGAAAATATATGTTTTATAATCATGTAATCAAGAGTAAGGATATTCTAACTACCAAAAATTCTTATTACTAACTTACTACCCATCACATCATCATTAGATCAAAGAGAGAATGTTAAAAAAAATTTAAAGAGAGAGAAAATGTTAATCTAATAGTGATTAGATAAGTAGTAAGTTGGTAGTGAAAAATTTTGGTAGTAAAAATATCTCTCCTCTATAATTAATAACAAGAATTGATTTGCATACTTACTCAGAAATTATATATGAAACTATTGTCATTGAACGGGTCATTCTCTTTATTTATTTATTTATTTTTTCAAGTCTTCACCCATATATCTCCCCCACCTCTCTTTTCTACATATATTTACTCAGAAATTATATATGAAATCATTGTCATTGAACGGGTCATTCTATTTATATGAAATCATTGTCATTGAAACCAAGGCATTGTGGTGTGAACTCAGACTCAAAATTGTCAAAATCATTTCTCTAAATCAAATTGATAAGATTTGCAAGTGAATCGCGAGTTTAACTGTTTAAGATTATTGGTATAATACCAAAATTCTAGTTGTTGCAAAGTATTTACCCGTACCATTTGCTCCTCGTATATGGCGTTGATTTCTTAGAACTTTCCTAGTAATCAAATTCTTTTTATAACATGTTTCCATAAAGAATTTGACTAACCGAAACCCTTGTCTTAAAATGCATTTTTAAGAAGAACCTTGATATACCAGTTGAATTCTGCATGCAAGTCGTCGTTCATGCTTTAATTTATTTATAAAAATAATACATATATTAACACAATTCTCTTTACATTATTTTTATATTGATAGTAGGTATGGAAAACCAGTGATATTCAAATTTCAATACGTATCATGTGCTGCCAATTAATCTAATTGGTAGGAAATTAATAATTCAATATCCTCATCGTTATATAATACACTGCCAGTCGCGCGATTAATATCCTATTCATCACCTAATATACGCGGATTACTAATTATTCGTACAACAACCACTTATGCAAAAAATGCATTCCAGATGCCTGTATATCTCATTCCAGAATTTAGCTTACCAAAAAAAAAAAAAAAAACGTATGTGAAAAAAATAATGCCTGTATAAAGACTAATTAATTTATTTATTATAGAAAAATGGAAAAAGTTCAAAAAAAACCCTTGTGGTTTCACTTAGAATCAAAAAAACCCCTTTATTGTATAAAAAAAAAACCCTTTATGTTTTTTTTCTTATCAATTACCCTCTATATTTTATTTCTTATAAATTATCCCCCCTGTGTTTTCTCTTTATATTAATTGTTCCCTTATTCTCATTTTTAAAAAGTCTATTCTACCCTTTTTATAATTTTTTTTTCAAAATTACTTGTTTATCTTTTTTATACATTTAAATTTTGATTTTTTTTTTTTTTGGGAAATGGTATAAAATGAGGGAACCACAGTAATAAAAATATGTTACAGAAGACCTACTACTTAATTTTATTACAAAATTAAGCGATTCTTTTTTAAAACGATATTTTTGAGGAAAAATAAAAATTTACAGATTCCAAAATATTTATAGTGAAAAATCAAATAAACCATATTTTTATACAAAATGAAAAATATTGTAACAACTTTATACATTCAATTTGTCCTAAGAAAAATCTAAAGTCGTACAATTTGTCCGTTTTAATGCCACTGAAAATTAAATGTGATAATAAGTAAGTGACACTTTTATGAAAAATAAAATAAAATATAGGTATTTTTTATATCAGAGTCATACTCAATGAGATTAAATATATAAAAAAACTAAAAGTAAGAAACCTCAATTAACATGTAGATGAATTGACTTAAGTTTTATGTCTGACTTATTTATAAAAAAAATTATATATATATAATAAAAAAAAATTATAAAACTCAATAATATAATCAAGTACCACCCCATAATTTGTTTTTTATCGGTGATTTATTCCTTTATTATTATTGTTTGGCTAGAAAATATTAGAAGATAAAAGTTTATCAAAAAAAAAAATTAGAAGATAAACAAGTAATTTTGGAAGAAATTAATAAAAAGGGTAAAATAGGCTTTTTAAAAATGAGAATAAGGGGGAAATTGATTGAAAGAAATAAAACATGGGGGTAATTGATTCAAAGTAAAACCATAAAGGGGGTAATTGATAAGAAAATAAGCATAGAGAGTTTTTTTTATTCTAAGCGAAACCACAAGGGTTTTTTGAACTTTTCTCTAGAAAAATTAAAAGGACACACACACATTTGGGATAAAGACCCTCTCAAGTTTGTTTGTTTGTTGTTGTTGTTATTTTTATTTTATTTTTATAAATATCAACTGGTGTCCGACAGAAACTCTAACGTACAAATCATACTAATTCAGTTTTAGGTTTGAGACTTTCCACCCTTCCAAAGAGTCGCAAATCTTAGAATTTAAAATAATTATCCTTTGAGCAGGTCAAATCCTGAAACAGTGATCATTCTGCCACTATTCCATTTCTTATTTACCTAAATGCCACGGTGCTGAACTTATTTCCTAAACTCCCACGCAGACAAGTTCGTTGGGTGTAGTAGCGAACTAGGCATGATGATGTGTCAGCAAACTTATGGTGCCCAAGTTCGTTACTGACACAGGCGAACTTGGGTGCAATAAATTCCTCACCTGTCAGGCCACGTGGCTTGCACCCATGGAAGGTCGCTGGCCACATCAGCAAACTCTGTGTAACGGTTAGAATGCCACGTGGCTGACATGCCAAGTTCGCTAGGGGGCAGCGAACTTGGCGTAACGGCTATTTTTCCGAGCCTATATAAACCCCTCCCCGTGACCCCTCCCCTCTCTCTCTATAATTTTTCTTCTCTCACTCTTCTCCTTTCTTAATTTTCTTCCTCTGTCATTTCCATTCTTTCTTTGTCTTCATTTGAGGTTAGTCATCTATGATTTCTTTCATTTTTTACAGTTTGTGATTGTTATTTAATTGTTGTTACTTATATTATATATAGGATGAAACATTAGGTTAGATGACATATTATGTGCTTTATTATTTTAATGATTTTAATTAGTTTAGTAATTGCATGTTAATGTTAGTAGTTAAATATTTTATAGTTTAATTAATATATTTAATAACTTTTTTATGTGCAATATTTATTTAATGTATTTAGGTGAGATAATTTTTATATTAATGTTGTTATATTTTATATTTAATAATTTGTTAATTATGCATTATTTTGACATTGACTTATAATATGTATGATAATCTTATTAGGTGTAGTAATTTATATTAATGTATTATTTAATAATATCCTTTTATTTGATATTATTTATAGGGTTGAAATTTAGGTTAGAAAAAATATATTCTAATGGTGTTAGATTTTGTATTTAATAAATTCTTCATTATGCAATAATTAATATATTTGAATTAATTAACATTATTTAGTTATAGGATTGAAAAATAGATTATAAATTTTTTTACTGTAATGTATGTATTTATTTATTAGTAATTAGTATTTATTTTTAGCTATTATATAATTTTTGTTTAATATAATATATATCTTTGTATGCAAGTATTTATTTTGTAAATATAATATAATTTAATTTAAATATAATATATTATATTAGAGTTACAATATTGATTTATTTATTTCTTAGTAATTAGTATTTAATTTGTATATATTATTTAATTCTTCCCTAAACATCATATATTATTGTATTTTATATAATATATTTTATAATTTATTATATTATATAATTTTTGTATTACACAATTAATATTTTTAAATTATTGTATTTTATAATTTTATTATGCAATTGTTGTTACTAATAATCAGATAACATTATTTTGTTATAGGTTTGAAAATACCATTGTAGAATATTCTTTGTGTTATATTATTTATTTATTATGCATTATTATCCAAATTTTAGTATGTCATTAGTAGTGTTATTAATTATTGTAAGTATATTAATGTGGTTATTATTTATTATTTAGTATGTAACATTCAATTATGATTTTGAATTGTAGAATAATTAAATGTATGTTGAATATTTATTCATTTCTTAGTAATAATTTATTTATATTTTGTAAATAGATCCATGGAGCAGCAGGACCCACACGAGACTTTCATTGACCCTGGTCGATCCTCGCGTTCTCTCTTGACGTTGCAGGACAAACACATCTCCACGCATGTGTGGAACACATCAGGCGACGCAAATCCACATGATCGTGTCCTCAATGTCAGACATGCTGCTTCACCCGATCATTTGGATATACCCAAGGATATCCACCCTTACCTTAGGCAGGCAGGGTTTTATCACGTTGCGCGTCTGCGCAACCATGAGGTTAGTGATTCTTTGCCTTTTATAATAGGTGAAATAACATATTGTATGTTTAATAATTTGTGAAAAAATGTACTTTTTTTTGTCAGATTGATCACTCACTCATCTCGGCCCTTGTTGAGAGATGGCGGCCTGAGACGCGCACATTTCATATGTCGATGGGTGAGGTTACAATTACCTTAGAGGATGTCCACCATCTGTTGGGATTACCCACAGATGGAGAGGTTGTGTGTGGCCGCGTTGGAGGCCATCCCTTCTCGGTGCTGGTTAGAGATTTATTGGGCGTAGAGTCAAAGCGAGCGCGCGATCTGTATAAGAACCAAATTTCTCTGACAGTTCTGAGGGAATAGTTTCTACATTACCATGAACATGCTGGCACTGAAGTTGGCCGTATGAGATACACACGTGCTTTGATCTTGCGCATACTGGGTGGTTGCTTGTTTGTTGAGACTGCATCGAGCTTTGTACATGCGTGGTATCTGCTATTTCTGGATGATTTTCAATGGACGGGGATGTATTCTTGGGGTTCCGCTATGCTGGCTACCTTGTACAGGGAGTTGTGCAAGGTTACTGACTCACGACGATCTGATATGGGGGGATGTGCTCTGTTACTACAGTTGTGGGCATGTACGCGTTTCCCTACTATCTCACCAGGACTCCCTGAGATCACTGACGCGCAGGCTATTCTTGGGGCCAGGTCTCTGCCTTTTATACTTTTTTGTTGTCTTGCCTTCAATATACAAAGTTGTTTTATAACTCCATTTTTTGTGTCTATGACGTTAATCAGTAAAATTATTTTTCGTATTGTTTTGCAGATTTAATGTCTACACCCAGAGACGGTTTCGGTTCTCCCACATCAGACGCTATCGTCATCACATTGACGTTATGCCTATCCGCAGGATACGGTGGAGGCCATACCAAGGATTCGCTACACATCATCCATCGTCCGAGGAGTCGCGTAGATGGTTAGCTGTATGCCCACTCATACACTATCAGATCGTTGTGTACCAGCAGCCCGATAGAGTGCTCCAGCAATTTTGTTTTAGGCAGCCGATACCTAGCGATCCGTTGCAATGTTCTGAACTGCTTACTATCACCCTTACTGGTAAGGGTGACGTAGACTGGAGGGACCGACATGGACTGTATATAGCGCAGTGGTATTCCAGGGATGCCCTTGTTGTGCAGGGTTTACAGCCGGACGAGGGATATGGACATCTTTCTATCAACAACACGTACATTCAGTGGTATTTTGAGCATACGCGCAAATGGATGATGCAGAGATCGGCTATTCATTCCCATGTGGTATGTTATCTTGAGACGTTTCATTATCGTTTTGAGAACTATTTTTTTGACATAATGACATCTCATGTTTAACATTTTTCGCAATATAGAGTGATCGCATAGAGACTGTTGTTCATATGGCATCGGACGAGGCGCAAGGAGCATTCACATACCGTCAGATATATGATGAGGCCCTTCAGGCCATGTCTACGTTCGCTGAGTTTGGTAGACTTACCGATCCTGGAGAGCCCGTACCTCCGCCAGTTGTGGTCCAGACAGTGGAGCCTCCTCGTCCTCCGCGTCGATCCCAGCGTGCACGCCACGAGGGATTGCCACTACATCATCAAACTCCCGTAGCGGCTGACCGGCCTGTGCATGTGCAGTCTCTTCCACCACGTCCTGTCGGACAGTTTTACGCACCAGCGTACCCTTCAGGTGGCCCGTCACAGCCGTATTGGTGGACTTCGCAGTCAGTCCCTCCCACTGGCACCTTTAAGGACCTTGTTAACACACTCTAACAAGTTTGTAGTCATGTGGCCAAATCGTCTTCCTTCAACATCGTACGATATACTCCATTTTTCCTTTGGAATTCGATCAATCCATGCTGCAATTTATGGGCTTGATTCTTTAAATTTTTCCAAACCAGCATCAAAATCCAAACGCGACGTAGTATAACCTGACGCATTAAAAACCATTCATTAAAACAGAATTAATTAAGAAATAAAGTCCCTTGCAGTATCAAATAATCAAAAAGGCGCAGAACAATACCTAACTTCTTTAACTGCTTCTTCAACAGGATATTTTTGAACTTATGATTGAAATTACTAGCCACATGTCTCAGGCAAAAAACATGGTAAGCTTTCGGGGGTTGCCACCCTAGATTAACATTATTGACGGTCGTTATTATACCGGCATGTCGATAAGAAACAAGACATATCCCGTCTTTCTGAGTCACATGGATTCATAACATCGCCAAAAACCAGAACCAGTTGTCAATATTCTCACAATTAACAACAGTGAAAGCAACAGGCAGGACATAATTGTTACCATCAATGGCTGTAGCAATCAATAGTGTTCCGCAGTATTTTCCACACAAGTGTGTCCCATCGATCTGGAGCATAGGCTTACAATAATTAAATGCATCACAACACTGTTTGAATGTCCAAAAAACCCTTTTGAACACCTTGTGCGAGCCATCGAGGAGACCATCGATCCTATGTTCATTCACGTCCAGTTTATAAGCAGACCATGGGGGAAACAATAACATATAATCCAACCATCTCGGCAGGAATGCGTACGACTCATCCCAATCCCCAAAAACCCTCACAACTGCCTTCTGCTTTGCTTTCCAGGCCTTTCTGTATGATATATGAAATCCTAGACACGATGCAATCCTTTCCTGAATTAAGTCAATCTTTACGCTAGGCTCTTCACGCACCATTTCTGCGGTTTGACAAACAACACCATATTAGTGTTACGAAAAACGGTATTTATTGAAACATAGAGAGGCTGGTTGACTTACCGATGATCAATGAACAAATGAAATTAGAGTTCAGTTGTTTGTGATCCTGTGAAAGTGTTTGACTAACACATGTATGGATGTTGTTCCATATGCCTATTATCCATTCATGACCGCCTTTTTTAAGATATGCTCGCATTCTCCATGGACAACCATCATTGTGATTTTGACAAATCATTATCAACCTTTTCGTATCACTTTTTAGCACGACAGTTGTGCGATTCTTTGCCATACAGTATTGTTTGATGGCCATTTGTACATCCTGTTTGCTTTCAAACTGCTGGTCCTTATTGAGTTTTTGACCCATTTGCCAATTTGGTACTTGTGCCCCTTGCATGTCATCAATTTCTTGATCGGGGTGTGCCCAGTTAATGTTCGTGTAAAGTGGTATTTGCGCCCAAAATGGTACACTATCCTCCCCTATTTGACACAAGTTCGAATTTCGTTACTATTATCATTTCAAAAAAAAAATTAAAAACAACAGTAAATAACCTTACCTGGAGCAGGCGGTGGGTCATGCGTACCAACAATGCCCGGTGATGGAATCGGTTCAAACAATGCAGTAGACAGCTCCATTTCGAAATCACCATCAACATCTGTATCCGATCAATCACTGTCAGGGACAAGGCCTTCAACAACATCTTCCTCGAAACTATCAGTACGCCATGACAGATCATACGGAGCAGGAATCACATCTAAAGGCATTGTTAGTGGGGGTGATGGTGGTGGGGGTGAGACATGCATATAATTTGCAGTTACTTGCGGCTCCTTGTTAATGTCTATAGAGTAACTGGTTGGGACAAAATTTTGAGTGCTTTCCTCTCCATCGGTGTTTAGTTCCGCATACAACTCGATGTATGAGGACTCCTATCCATGCTATCGAAATGCGTCAACTACTAATGACACATCTTCATCTTCCACCACCTCCACAGCAACCCATTGCACCAGGTTACCAGAAGCACATCTAGCAATCAGTCGAGACAGGGATTGACCTCGTTGTAATCTCAACTTCTTGTATATTATTTTCTTCAGCTCAGTATATTTGCAACGCGAACTCATGCAGAAGATCTTCGTATCTCCTTCAAACACTTGACCGTTTGGTCCAAAATATCTTCTCCCAATGTAATATAGAAGGCATATTACATCGTTGTTACTCTCACTCATTATGTACTGAAATAGCAAAAAAAACCAAACAGAAATGGAAACTTTTAAGAAAAACGGACGAGAATGACTTTGGGAGAGGAATAAGGATGTTTAAATATCACTGAGTTCGCTTCCTGGGCCAGCGACCTATAACTGTCGGTAGGTAGTTCGCTTACCCAAGCAGCGAACTTCTAAGGGACAACCATGTGGCACGAAGTTCGCTACAGTGTCCAGCGAACTGCGTCACTGGCTGCCACTTGTCACCTAGTTCACTGGGCATTTCAGCGAACTGTGTGCCAGTTGACACATGGCAAGGAGTTCGCCTGGACCCCAGCGAACTGTGTAGGGGTCAGACACATGGCAAATCAAGTTCGCCTTGTCTATCAGCGAACTCATCATACGTGTCAGCATTTATTGCACCCAAGTTTGCCTGTGTCAGTAGCGAACTTGGTCACCATCAGTTTGCTGACACATCATCATGCCTAGTTCGCTACTACACCCAGCGAACTTGCCTATGTGGCAGTTTGAGAAATAAGTTCAGCACCGTGGCATTTAGGTAAATAAGAGTTGGAACAGTGGCACAATGGTCACTGTTCCTCAAATCCTGATGTCTAATTGGGTTTATACTAGATTAACAATTCTTAGGTCTACACTTTGTTTTATATATATATATATATGTGTATCTATATATATATATATATATATATATATATATATATATATATATATATATGTATAAAATCATTTGACACCTCAACATCATTTGAGGGGCATTAATTTTGCCTTGATCAACTATTCTGATTTGAAAGTATGTGACACCGTTGATCTGTCTTGATCTAATGACCCTCGGTTGAGATGTCAAAATTTTGGATTGATATTGGTGTCAAATTAAAGGATCTTATCACCCACACAGACACACACGCATATATATATCACTTTTAAAATTCATTTTAAGTTTGGTAAAATATTGATTAAAAATATATATTTGAAGTTAATGGCGGAATACTTCTGCAACAAAATATATTATAGCACTTGTTTGGTTTAAGGAATTATTTTTTAGTTTTATTTGAAAATATGCTTAATTTCAGTTCCTAAAAATAATTTTTTGTTTTTAAATTTTCTTATATTAGAAATCATGTTTAGTTTGTTAAACTCAACCATTTGTAGAATAAATAAATAAATAATGATACGGCTAGGGGTGAAAGTGGGCTGAGCTGGGCCAAGCTTTGTCCCGAAAAGCCCAAGCCTACGTCAAAAAATTTCAATTTGGCCTGGCCCAAGCCTAGTATGAGTCTAACTGTTAGCCTGGCTTGACCCGTTTATAAAAAAATAAATGGCCTGTCTTGACCCGTTAGCCTGTTGATTTTTAATTTCCATGTAGAACCATGAATCAATTTTACAAAGTACTCAAATTCTGTTGCTACACAAAAAATCATAATTTCAACGTCCAAACAGAATCATGAATCATAACAAAACTCATACAATATGTATTTAATTCATTTTCAAAAACAAAATGCTCAAACTAAATAATATATATTTCATCAGATCCAACAAACAAATCCATACTATGTAAATTAAAATAATTACACGAATTCAACAAACGCATCATGATGCTTGTAGTAAGTATAACATTTTCCAAAAATCTTTTAATATATTCATATACATAATCAAACATGTTGAGATGTTGATTCCTCCTATATAAGAAATAAAGTAAGATTTCTATTAAAATATAATCGAATATAATTAAGTTATAAATAATTGCAATTGATTAAATTTATATCTTTTGTTTTTTCTTCAAGGCATACTTATTATATTTTATTTTATTTAAAATAAATAGTACAATATAGGCCGACCTGTAGGCTTATAGACCCGACTTTTTGAAAGTGAGCCTACGACCTTTTTATTTAACAGACTTTTCTATGACCCAAGTTCGGCCTACTATACAAATTATACTAGGTTAAGTATGACCTGATATAGGCTGAGCTGTGGGTCCTTATAGGCCGACCCGACCCAGTTTCATCGCTAGATACCGCACTTCAAACATTTTGCACCATTTATGATTGTCGCAATTATATTTTAGACACAAATGATTTTTTCATATCATTTTCCTTTTAACTGGTTGTGGTCAAAATAATTATGGAAAGTATACTTGCATTCAGACCTCAGATACGAGGAACAAAAGTTATAGGTATGAATGAAGAATGAAGATCAGGTTGTCAACTAAGTGGTTGATAAGTTGGTATTACAACAATGGTATCTTGAAGTCCATAATTTTAATATATATTAGTTATTGAACACTATTTCTTTTATGTTTACTTTGAATAATTCTAAAAATCCAAGTCTCCGCTATATTATTTTTCATTCCCGTTGAAGTCAGTACAATGACATCATTACTGACAGCAAGGAATGTTGTCGTCAATCTACCTTCCTTTCAGACATATTTTATAATATGTAACAATGTTATTAAAAATTGCATATATATATATATATATATATATATATATATATATGAGATAGGATCCTTTGACACCAGTGTCAAATTTAAAATTTGACACCTCATCTAAGAGCCATTAGATCAAAAAAGATCAATGGTGTCACATGCTTACAAATCAGAGTCGTTGATCTTTTTTTATCTAACGGCTCTCAGATGAGGTGTTAAATTTGACACTGGTATCAAAGGATCCTACCTATATATATATATATATATATATATATATATATATGAGATATGATCTGTTGACACCGGTGTCAAATTTGAAGTTTGACACCTCATCTGAGATCAATGGTGTCACGTACTTACAAATCAGAATCGTTGATCTTTTTTGATCTAAGGGCTCTCAGATGAGATGTCAAACTTCAAATTTGACATCGGTATCAAAAGATCCTGCCTCTATATATATATATATATATATATGGTATTGTTCTGCCTAAATGACAGAGATGTCCAATTATAGATTAATATGTTAATATTGGATCTGTTTGTCCTCTCCCAAGTACTTATAGGGAAGATAGCATAAAGATCAGCGGATCACTGTACACTATAATATAAACGACATAGCCAAAGGGTGGAGTGTGTGCATACTGACAAGCTAAGAGAGAGGGTTTAGAATATCTGTACCTTATTGGCTTAATCCCTTATTTATAGATGGGTTACCGGGCAAGAGTGGACTTCTGGATCTCTTAGGAGTATTATGAGTCCAATTGTTGCTACATTATTGCCGTAATAGAATAAGTATAATTAAGGAATATTTCCTTAATTCTCTCTTAGCGATTAGTCCTATTTGGACTTTATAGAATGTGAGCATTTGTTAGGTTCATAACAAATACAAATAATAATTTGACAGTTTAATTATCAATATTACTATTTGATTTAAATATTGAGGATAAAATTAGATGCTACACTTACATAAATTATAATTATGAACTAACATAATAGTATTTACCTTCTTTTTCTTGGCAATTTTTTCATTTTTGATGCCACGTAAGCTCATTTATTATAATTTAAATTCATGTATTACGGGATCAATTTCTAATCTTCTGTATGCATGCACACCATGCAAAAGGAAAAAAAATGCCACGACATGCATGATTCCAGTCCAGTGAAGAATTCAACACAAAACTTATCAGAATAAGTGAATAAATAATATGAGGACAATGATGGACGAAAGAATAATGCAGGTTATAATAAAGTAATTAATGTCACACTGAGAGGGAAAGCTGTGATGCAAACCATAAAGTTTGGTCTAATAGTGAGGACTTTGAATATGTTGTATTAAGTTATGTTTAATTCATTAAAAAAAAAAAAAAACCTGTGATATTCCAGATTGTTCAACAAGCTCTCCATTTTTTTTTTCTTATACATTCTATTTCCACCTAAAGTCACATTACCTTAATACCATATTATAAAAGCCAAAAACTTTTCATGTAACGTTTATCTCCATTAATATTCCAAGCGGTCCCAATTAGAAAGAACATAACAACAGAACAAAAACAGAGATGGGTTGTTGTTTCAGTGGCTCAAAAACACAACCACCCATGGAAAGAACCTCCAAGTCTGTTGTTTCCGTGGCTAAAGAAGTTCTGATACAAATTCCAGGATGCAGAGTTCATCTGATAGATAAAGGAGAAGCTGTTGAACTGGCTCAAGGCCAGTTCATAATGATGAAAATCATGCAGGAGAACGTGCATCTAGCTACAATCATAAAAGTAGGAAATGATGTTCAATGGCCTTTGACAAAAGATGAACCAGTGGTAAAGGTTGCTGCTCTCGATTACCTGTTCACATTGCCTTTGAAAGATGATGAGCCTTTTAACTATGGTGTGACCTTTCCAGAACATAGTCATGGAAGCATGAGTTTGCTGGATTCGTTACTGAAGCAGCACTCTTGCTTTTCTGTTTCGAAACGGAGCAATGAGAATAATTATCTTGATTGGGAGGAGTTTGCTCCGAGGGTTGAAGATTACAATCATTTTCTGGCCAAGGCAATTGCACAAGGGACTAGTCAGATTGTTAAGGGTATCTTCACGTTGGCTAATTATTTCACCAACCAGGTTTAGTTTTCTACTGCTTTAACCTTGCTTCAACCCAAAATTTTAAGGTGTTGGCTGAGGGTCTTTTTAATGATTTATATTATATTCTGTAACACACCCCCTCACGCAAGAGCCCTTTGAGCTTGAAGCGTGGATATGGCACAAACCTATTATTGGTCTGCCTTGTGCTTTTTTTAATTCCACCTGAAAGTGCGGGGCAGTGAGGATCGAACTCGTGACTTCATAGTCACTGAAGCTCTGATACTATGTTAAAGAACTATTTCAACCCAAAACCTTAAGATATTGGGTGATGAGTTTTTAATGATTTATATTATATTCTCTAATAACTTTCTACTTCTTAATTCTTATTATATGAACCTTGTACTTTCTTGAAGCTAGGAAAAATGCATGTGTGTGAGTTATGTCAAGGTTTGAGACTTGTGACCTACATGTGGGTTTTCTATGGGCTTGGAAAATTTTGAGAGGGGCCAAAAATTTCAAAATTTACAATAGCTTATACAGAGTAACTCAGTAATAAGTCTATATATATAGCTAGATTTGAAGAATTTTCTAAATTTTCTTTATACATAAGGGGTAAACTTATGTTATACTATCTTTCTTTTAATGTAATTTAAGACAAATGTTTGATGAATTTGAGGGTGACATCACCCCTCTAGCCCTGGGCCCCACCATTTTTGGGGATCTCACACCTCAATAGTTAGTTCTTGGAGTGTGTTTGATAATATGGAGAACTATATATGAAATTCTCACTGAACAGCTAGCTTTTGAGTTGGGTAGTAACTAGGAAGTGTAATATTATAATACCTTTAAGGTCTGAAATGTTATGTTCCTATAGGATTTGTTCTTCTTACTAAAAGAAAAACATTAGTTTATACTTGATTTGAAAAGTAATCACTAAGCTTTTCATCCAAAACTTGTTTTGAAAATCAGGTTCACATAGGAGTGGAAACGATCCTAAATAGTGCTGCAGATAAGAAAAATGTTGGAGTAGGGAGGGAAAGCACGAGCAACAAAATTGCTGTGATTAACGAAAACCTCAAACGGTATTTAAAAGTTCAAACTGGACACATATTACCACAATACTCGGTGAACATGTGATTGTTTATATCCTATAAGTAATGAATTGCTGTTAAGGATAATAGTGTTGTCCCTGAAATTTTCATCACACCAGTTTTTAAGGGACACACATCTGACTCTAATTATTTTCTTTTTTGCAATCTAGAGTAAGAATGCTGTCAAATATGACAGAAAATTTAACCAAATCTTTGCTTGATCGTGTTGGAATAATGAGTGGATCAGTGACGTCTCCTGTGGTTCAATCCCAACCAGGACAAGCACTCCTCCCTAGCGAGGTGCGGTTGGCTTCTCTTGATTCATTCAGTAAGTAAAGCCTCTCATAAAACCAAACTTTAAGATCTTAAATAAGGCCAGCATGTTGGGACATTGACCTACTGCCGGTTTTTAAATATAATATACTTGAATGTTATGAAGTCGAATTTTTTTTCCAAACTGTCACGGCACCATAGTCGCTGAGGTAGTATGCTACTATGGACAGAAAACGTGTCACTTCTCCAGCGGCTAGAAACTAAAGTAGCTACTTTATGTAATGACTTTGGGTTGAATGAGTTGCATGTCCAACCGCTGGGGACGTGACACGTGTCCAGTCCATAGTAGCTAATTACCTCAGCGACTATGGTGCAGTTATAGTTTAAATTTTTTTTCGATTCCATAGCATTCAGGTATATTATATTCAAAAAGGGGCAGTACGGTCAATGTCCCTAGCATGTTCTTCCTTATAAGGCTAGCACCAACATCAAATTTTATTCTTTTAAACAAGCAGCATCAACTTGATTTCTATGTTCTCTTTTAATGCCGCAGACAAGGTTTTTGCTGCAGTTGAAGCTGCTGGAAAACAAACCTTTTCTGCCACCTCTCAAGCTGCAACCATAATAGTTTCTGACAGGTAAAAAAACATTACATTGCTTTGAACAATATAGCTGAACTTTATAGTTGGATTACCACATTGGCATCAACTTGATTTCAATAATGTTCTCTTTTATGTTTGGCTTAAATATACTTTTGTTTTTTTGTACCAAAAAATAAATAAATAAATAAACTTTAATTTTGGTTTCTCTAGTTTCACTAAAGTTCACTTTTAGTCCGTTGATTTTATTTGTAACAATGTTACATAGTATAGTTTTTAAATTGATGCAATTTTAGTCCTCTTGCAAATTAATCTTATATAGTGATACTTCACTTTTATCATGTTAATTCTATATATCAGCCAAATCAGTAAAAAAGAAGGCACATCATAAAATTTTATAATACATGAGCAAAATAGTATCCAAAGTTAACAAAGATGCCTTGCTTATCAATATATAACAGGTATGGGGAAGAAGCAGGAGAGGCTACTGAGCATTTCTTTGCAACTACAAAAAATGTTGCTAACACTACATCGAATGTCTCTAAGATATGGATGGCTATTAATCCGGCTTCTTCAGCAACCACCACAGGAGCACTCAGAAATGCTTAGAAATGTTATATATTAAAATCCAATCATGTTGCTTTCTTTATATTCGCCAAAGATATATATACTGCTTATTACTCTTATTAGGTTTTTATAATAAAGTATGTTGTATTGTAGATGAAGAACATCTCTACATGGAAAAGCTCCAAATGGAATGTAAGAGAACAATGTTGCTTTCTTTTCTTAATCTTTTCAAAAAAAATTCTGTCTTGTTCTTAACATTTCATTTACACATTCTTTTGCCTGTAATATTTAATGTTAGGGCTAGGCCCTCCATTTATATAAAATAAAATAAAAAAATTTAATGTTACTTATATATTAAAAGAAGTTTTGATATCAAGAGTAATTTTTTGGGAGGCACAGTCTATTATAAATATTTAAATTAACAATTACCATGTGTAAAGGAATTTTTTAATATCAAATAAAAAAAGCATAGAACCACCTCAATTTGGGATTTTAGGTTATAGTCTATTCAATTTCTAATTTCCAGAAATATCTTAATAATGGCCTTTCTTAACTTGTTTTTAGTGAATTTATCTTTTCTGCAACATTCATGATTTTAGTTAAATTTAGGTAAAGTTTAATTCTTAAAAAAATCATTTGGTTTAAACAAAATTTTGTCTTAATATAATTTTTATTTATTTGTGATTATTTTTTCTTTTTTCTTTTTTCTTTTTTTTAAAGGATTAAATATTTGTCATTTTAAGTAAAATAATAATATTTCACTTAATATTTAAAGGGAAAAACATCTATCTTTTTAAAGGATATAAACTTATATCATTTTATCTATCCTTCAAAAGGTTTTAAAGGATGTTATTCCCATATTTAAATTAAGTGATTTTTTTTTATTAATAACCTTTCATTTTCCTCGATCATGAACTTCGATCGTGTGACGCATCTCTTTTAATGTAAAACCTTAAACCCTAAATATTAAAACAAATCATTTTATTATTTAAAATCACATAATATTCAAATAAGTTATTCTTTTTTCATTCAATTTTTTTTTTCTTAAATAGATTGTTCACAACAGTCCTACGTTGTTTCAGGATCATTATTAGTACAGACATACTTTTTGTTTCCTTGTTGTCATTATGCTTATGATCAGAGACATCATTCGTAGTAATTTGTTTTCTATAAAGTTTGTATAAATTGTTTAGGAAAATATTACTCTCATTCGACACTCTTATGTATTCACAAATTAAGAGTGGAACTCATTCTGTATTTTTTTCTCTTCTTTATTCTCTCTCCTCCAAGTGAGAGAAAAATTTTCTCGCGGCGTTTGGGGTGTGCATGACAATCATTCTATTCCCTAACACTGTTTTTGAAAAGAAACAATTATTTTCTATTTCTGTGCCATGGAACAGTTTCTGAGAAAAAAAATGCATTTGATAATATGTTCTATTTTTATTCCGAGAATGAGAATTGTGTTTGATAACACAACAAATAATATAATAAAAAATAATTCCTATTAAATATAAAAAAATTCTGGATCATCACTTTCCTTTTCACATGGTGGCGACGGCGGCGGTACGATAGTGGTAGCGGTAATGACGTGGTGAAGATAGTGGTGGTGGTTGTGACAGTAGTGGATGCGACGATGGCGGTGATAATGGTGGCGACAGCGGTGGTAGTAGTGGGGATGGTGGTGGTGGAGCTGATGGCAATGGTTGCGACAATGGTGGTGGGTATGGTGGTTGGTGACGGCAACAATGGTAGCAGTGACATGGTGGTGGTGGTTGTGAAGGTATCATGGTGGTGGTGGTGGCAGTGGTTGCGGTGGTGGTAGTGGTGGCAATGGCGTGGTAATGGTAGTGGCGGGGGTGATGTAATGGTGGCGATGGTGGTGGTGGTGACGGTAGTGGCTGTGACGATGGTGGTGGTGGTTGGTGGCGGCGGCGGCAGCGACGACGGTGGTGGTGACGGTAGTGACTGCGACAATAGTAGTGGTAGTTGGTGACGTGGTGGTGATGGTAGTGATGGCGATGGGGGTGGTGGCAGTGGCGTGTGATGGTGATGACGGCAGTGTTTGCGATGATGGTGGTGGTGGTTGATGGCGGTAGTGGTGATGGTGGTGGCGGCAGTTGTGGTGGTGGTTTTGGTGGTGATAGGTGGAGGTGGTGGTGGCATCATGGTGGTGAGGACGACACTAGTGGTACGATGGTGGAGAGTGATTGAGAGGAATAAATGTTTTTCATTTTGTGCCCGAGAACAAAAATGCAGAAATTTTTTTATTCCTTTTTCTGTTCCCCAGCACAAAAATTAAACCGGTTCATCTCGGGAACAAAAAAATAAACTGGTTTTACCAAACGAGTTTCCTATCCATTTCTGTTCCCGGAAACAGAAATTAAAAAAGAATTGATTCCGGGAAGGTTGTCATGCACACCCTTGGTAGAGAAATTTTTTTTTTTATCCGATAATCTCGATTTTCAAAAATATAATTTTTACATTCAGTTTACGATAATATCTGAAAATTAAAAATTTAGAAAAATTCAATTTCCCGAAAATCCTGAGAAATATCGCGTACCAAACCCCGCTCAGAAAATAATATTTTCCATTGTTTATCTATGTAATCTTGTTCCCTCTTCAATAGGGATTTTTGTAACATGCACCCGGTCCATGATTTATTGGATGTTCCTTTTCTCAAAAAAGAAAAATTCTCTTCCATTTATACCCTTATCTTTTTTTTCAAATTCCTTCTCAGTCTTTTTTTCATTCTATTTTTGGACAAATCCCACCAAGGCCGGGACCGTAAAAAATGAGCTCCTTCAATAGGAGCATATCTTTGGTACTACTGTAATATGTACTCCTTTGCTAAAAGTTGAAAATAGTGATGGTTTTGGAGAAAATAACCATACAAGAAAAGATAAAATGATAAAAAAAATATATTATATTTTCTAAATTGAATAAATGATGTACGGAGTCTTCAATATTACTATTTCCCTTCAATAGACCCTTTAGATTTATAACTCACTCCTAAAGACGACGGTTTAGTAACCGCTACAATTTGCAATGAATCCGCGGTGGCGGTAAATGATTTTGCGCAACTATAAAAAAATAAAAAAAATTTGGGCAAAACCTAAAAACTCTTTTCTACAGTTTCAACTTCGTAAACCCTTGTTCTCATTGCAGCATAACGTTCGTCGCAGATTCGAAGCTACTCTGCTTCTCTGACATCAACTACAACAGTGTTGGTAAAACTTTATCTGTTCCACTCTTGTGATTTTCACATATTTTACTACGTTTCCAAATTCTGTCTTTTATCTCGAAGCATTTGTTTTGGTAAATGGAATGTGGAGGTTATGTTTATATATGATTTGCATTTGTGTGGGTTAATGGGAACCAATTTTGTGATGTCCTGTATGTGATCGATGAAATGCCCTAATGAAGTGATACTCTTACAACTAGCTGTGTTTCTTGAATCAAGCAAGCAAAGATGGTTAGTATGAACAATTATGACTAATAGGTTGATTCTATAATGGTTTCAGTGACACAGCAGCGCAGGAGTAGGTTCACATTACATGCTTGAAAATTTTTAAAAGACCAAAAGTAAGCACACTGGCTGATATCTGCAGTTGTTGTCATGAGCTTCTCTAGCTATATTTTCAGTACTTTTAAATTCATGTATTTAAGCATATTCAAAAAGACAAACCTTGGGATAAAACTATCTTTAAAATGTACTCCTCATTTAAAATGTTTTTGCTGCTTTAATGATTTGAAACCTACTTTTTTATGGCACCGTTTAATACCAAGTTGGAGACATCTTAGTTGTATTGGTGTACTTAAAGTTGTAACATGTTGGTTTGGCTATTTTGAGAATTAATTTACAACTCTTATTTCACGATTAGACATCAACCAAGGCATGAATTATTTTATGCACCTTACAGAAAAGTTCCAATTGGAAAATGGTTATGGAAATATGTCCAGAAAAATACAGAAAAGTTTAAATCTGTGGGTTTTTTCACATATTTATCCTTTGCTTGAAGCATCAGGTATTCTCACTAGAAGCCTGGAGCTCTACACTGAGTCTAACCTCCAGTTCTTATGTTCTGTGGTTACTTGTTAAGCTTTCTCAGAAATTGTTTGGTTATGTGATAGACTGATAGTTTATGTTGGAGTCTCGAGTCTATGGGAGTATGGGACTTGATAGCTACCTTTATAAGCTTTCATATGTTTAAATCGTTTTCATGCATTCTTGCCTTTCTATTAAAATATCCTATAATCGTTTCTATATATGGCCAATGTCTTCATTTGTGTGTTTATAATCGTTTCTATATATGGCCAATGTCTTCATTTGTGTGTTTATAATCGTTTCATGTGTTTGTTACTTGACATAAATGTTTCGCGTTGCTTAAATTTAGAAAGAAGATTACAAAGCAATGGATAAGTCATGGATTACGATGCCACAAAATTCACTTGTGTATGAGCAGGGAGTTAGGGGATTTATTGATTTTGCTTTTGAACATGCTTCTGCAAATGGTAAGATAATATGCCCTTGTTCCCTATGTCATTTTCAAGAGTGGCAGACAAGGGATGATGTGTATAACCACTTAACTCGTGAAAAATTCCAAGAAGGATACACTTTTTGGTTTTGTCATGGTGAGTCCAAAATAAGGGATACCAGTAATGTTGCTCGTAGAAATGTTTCAAATGTGATAAAAGACACCATGATTGATGGAGATCCAATCCGAAACATGACCAATGATGTTTTTGGAGTTGATAGGCAACATGAGAATGAAGTTCGCATTGAATCAAATGAAGACATTGGCCAAGGAGGAGGGACGATCGCAAATGTGACTCAAGAAGGGCATGAAGCTAAAGAGTTTAATGAATTAGCAAGAGATGGAGAACAATCTTTGTATGAAGGGTGTGCGAAATATTCTAAACTTTCTTTTATGGCGAGGTTGTATCATATTAAATGCTTATGTGGAATGAGTGACAAGGCTATGACAATGATATTGGAGCTATTACAAGATGCATTTGAACATGCAGATATTCCAAGTTCATTCAACGAGGCCAAGAAAACTATTACCAAGTTGGGTTTAGATGATGAAAAGATACATGCATGTCCAAATAATTGTTTGCTGAATTGGGGTGCAGATGATGAAATAAGAAAAACATGCAAAGTCTGTAACAAGTCCAGATGGAAACCAAAGGCAAAAGGTGATGAGATTATAACATCCGATGATGGAAACAGTAAGAATAAGGTGCCTGTGAAAGTTCTTTGTTACTTTCCGCTAAAACCATGCATACAAATATATATATTTTTTTTGAAGACTTGTTTTTTGTTAATAATGCAGGATATTTGTGATAAAAATGCTGCCAACCGACAGAAGCAAACCGTTTCTCATACTCTTAGGTCGGGAAAGAAACGTGAGCTGGTATAATTTATTTAAACTATTTACCTTTTCTAATTCTAAAAATTGAAGTAGTTATTTCATGATATTAATAATTTGTTACAAAATGTTAGGAAATTCAAACTTGGCTATCATATGATAGAGAAGAAATGTATTATATTGCTAGGACAAATCTTTAGTGCTACGGGAGTACCCAAGTGGGTATTCCCTTTTTCCAAATGCGGGAAATTTTGTAATATGGCAGGAAATTTTTATTTGAAAAGTGGAAGAAAATTTTCCACATTTGGAAAAAGGGAGTACCCACTTGGGTACTAAAGATTTGTCCCTATTGCTCAGAAGAGAAAGGATGGATCTTTTAGCAATGATGAGGCTAGACAAAAGATTGTTAGTACATTTTGTTTTTTACGAGTTTCTACTATTATTGAACATTTAACAACTATTACATGTAAGTCTTGCGTGCTTAATTACATGTTGTTTAATGTTCATTGCAGGAACTCTTAGAGACGCAAACTGACGGGATATCTTCTACAGAAGACATCTATACTGAAGATTTTGGGGAAGAGCATTCAGGACACGATCAAAGTATGGGATTTGATGTTTGCCGCTCCAAGGTCCTCAAATCCACTGGTGGTCCCACAGCAAATGAAATCAAAGAGTTGAAATCAGAAATTGATGCTTTATCGGAACAAGTGGCGTTTCTTGTACAACATTTAGGTGTTCAATTGCCGCTTAATCAGGTAAATTATCACAAGCCTTATAAAATGTTGTCTCAGTTTGATAAAATGTTTGAACCAGTGGTCTTCATGCTTACACTATGTATGGAGCTTGAGGCTTAATTATGTTTGTGTGATTCCTTTCATTTTCTTTTTTTTCTTGCTTCATATGTTTAGTAATTATGTTTGAACACTTTCGTTTGAAAAGTATTGATGTAATCCTTTTTGCTTGGTAATAAAGTTACCATTTGTTCATATTGTCTTGATTTTTCAAGAAAATAATAGATGGAAAAAGAGATAACAAAGAAAGAGAAATGAGTAAAGGAGCAATTGAACAAAAGCGGTGACAGCTCTGAAAAGCACCTTAAATTTTTTGACTATTTTAATTTATAACCTTTAATGTTTGGAAGCATAGGAGTTAGCACAAGAGGCATAGCTTTCTCAAGTAGAGGCTTGCAAAAGATATAAAACGAAAAGAATATTACATTTCTAGTTTTTGTGTCATACAAATTGTGGATAGCTAGCATATAGAAAAATAATAATACATCCTAAACTAAGTTTCAGTGAAGTAAATTATAAAATACATGTTCATATATTGATAGTCTTTGATTTCTTGCACAACACCAGGCGAAACCTGCTGTTTAGGCGGAGGGGTTAGCTTGGAATTTTTTCATGAAAGAATGCAGAAGCTGAAAATTAATGTAGTACTATAAGATAGAGAACAAACAAAACAAAACGTAGCATAAGTGGGAACCCACAATTTTAATGGTGATTAGAAGATCATATACATACTTTGTAAATACTGTAGAGTGGCATCATTTTGTGATTCTTGCGTTGAACATCATTCCTTCTCACTCTTGATTGTTGTAATTTTTTTATTGTCTAATTGCAGGTTACAGACCTAGACTCAAGATGTTCTAGTTCTTCCTATGCTAGTCACGAACCCCGAAGTCAGGGGCCATCATCTCCTCCAACTTAGTTTTTTATTTAAATTGAAGGGATATATAACACTACTAAAATATTAGACTGTTATTTTGTGTTGTTTTAACTTTCATGCAATGAATGAATTTCGTGGTTTTTTCTTATTTTTAATTTTTTTTGTAGGTTTTAATGATTTACAATATACTAGATACATGTATCTTATCAGGTACATTAATAAGTATAATCATCAAAAGTTTGGTGTTTGTCATTTTAAATGACATAAGTTATGTCATTTTAGGAGAGAGATAGACACAAAAACGGAAATCATGGAAGAGAGAAAGTGAGTGGTTTTTTTAATTTAAAATTCAAATTTTCTGTGTATGTATCTCTCTTAAAATGACATAACTTTCTGTCATTTAAAATGACAAACATTTTTCCCATCATCAAAACTATATAAATAAAAAATAGCTCTTAATCATATTTTTATTTGATCCAAAAATTTAATTTCTATTGATTTGAAAACCCCTAATGCAATTTAAAAATATCAAATCAAAACTACGAATCCAATATTTAAGCTTGATGTTTTATGAATGCCATTGTTAGGTCTATCACTAATCATCCATGCTTTTTACTTTACTCTTTTAGGTTATTTTGGTGGGAAATCCTTCAACTTGATACGTCACTAAATGGGAAATATAGCCACAGCCAATATATGTCTGCTAAAAAAAATTGATGGGAAGTAAGTAGGTGGGAAGATGTTTTTGAGATAAGAAAATTGATGAAAGACCGAGGAGTGCCGGTCATTTTTGCTTGGAGTTTTATAGAAATCGATCAAGGCATCCACAACTTTGTTGTTGATGATATTCAGGAGAAATCTACAAAGTCTCAAGTCACCTGGGAAAGAAAATTCAGAATTTTTGCAGAGAAATGGATGCCCCCCCCTTTTTTTTTTTTGAAATAGTACAATAAGGATGAAGAAATGGTTCGTATATTTAGATGCATTCACATGGGACAGTTGAGAGCACTCACATGAGTCAATTAGTTAGGGGGTTAAATAGGGGGAAATATGTTACCAAAAAAAAAATATAGGGGGAAATAGAACTGTTTAGAAGAGAGTGTTTCCCTTAGAAGAGGATTCAACCTCTAGTTATTCTTCATCTCCATCCAGAATAACAGAGAACCCTTTTCATTGTGGTGCATGCTCGTTCATAGCTAAAAAGCAACATTGATTTTAATGCCCTCGTCAATTTATTCAATAATCAGGGGCTATACAGAATTGGGGTTTGATTAAATGTTAAGTGCAATTAGCTATTGTTGAAAATTCAAGTGAGTGATAAAAAATCTCACAATAGGCTAAACATAATACATATAAGTGAAATGATTCATAAATCCAATGCCTTATAATTTTGGGTTGAAATGTGATGATGAGTTAAAAATATAGCTATGTTGTTATCAAAAAAAAAAAAAAAATATAGCTATGCAGAAACGCAAACACAATGTACTATTACCAAGTATATATAACAGATCAAGTCAGTGACCAATGACAATGCACTGCTAAAACAATTTCAGCTTTAATTCACCATACAAGGTAACCGAATTATGCAGCTTTAAAGAACTTTATATGGGACCGAAAGTTCAGCAATTCAAAGGTCAAATATTCACTAGCAGCAAGTGAAACTAAAAACTACGAATTTGCAACAGTCAAGACTCAGACACGGTCAAATATGCCATTCTATCTTCTTCAGCTTGCTCACTGTCTGTGTCTTCTTAAGGAAGTGAAAACAGAGATTCTGTATACATAGCCGCTTTGAATCCATATGGATCAACTGAATAGGAGCAATGCGATAGCGGCTTTCCCTTGTGATCACATTTCACTAATCCCCCACCATTTCTTCCAACAAAATCACCACTTTCTGTACAGCATATGGGGTTAAAGGCACTAATTTTCAGGAAACTTTCCACTTCCCAAGATGAGCTTACTTCGTATTCTTTCATTACCCATATCCAAACGAAACCGACATCTTTCACCGAAATAAACAGACTGAGAAATCCATCATGTACCCCAAGCGACCAATCAGGTAACATATCATCATCATAGTCAAAGTATGCATAAGTATCCTCTGGCAGAAGCATTTCTGAAAAAGTCCTTTCCACTAAATCAAATGCAACAATAACATTCTTGGACAAACCATTACTAAAAGCCAACCAATGAATAGCCGAGTTGAACAGTGAACCCACTCTGGCTATGGCTCTGGATCTGGGATAACCAAAGACATCTATAGAGGGCAAATGGTTACCCTTAATTTTTTTCCATATATTATCTCTCAATGAGAAAATTTTCCATTTAACTTTGTTTGAGTGGGAAGATGATGCTAGAACAATCAAGTAGTCATCCTTAGATGAATCATACCCAAAACCATACAGAAATTTTTCATTCAAACTATTAGACACTGATATCTTTTTGTGAACACCAGTGGATGGGTTCCATATATAGAGATTTTGATGACAATCCAAAAGTACAAACCCTCTGCAGGAACCCATAATTCGAACAGGAAAATCATGCTTTGGATGCAAAAAACCAAGCTTTAATGAAGCAGAAACAGAATCATCGTGATCGTCAAATGATGCATCTAAGTCCATAGATCGAATATTAGAATCAGAAGGCTTAAAGAACAAAACCCTATTGGTGCGTGCCCTAGAAAATTCAAAATGCGATGTTGCAAAACATGGATCGGATATAAGAGATTGCCATGACTTACACACACGCTTGAATCGCACCAGAGACTTCACCGGAACCCTCAACAGGATTTCAATTAACATTTCTTGAGGGACAAACACCGTCTCATTCTCCATTCTTCCTGGTTCTTCCATCTTCTTCATTATCGAGTCCTGCGATTGAAAATATGTTACTATTGTTGGTTTTTATTTTGTTTTATTTGATGGAATAGGATATTCTCACACATTTACGCACAATGTTACGACAACATCTTTACCGTTGATTTCCGTCAATCAACGGTTATCATTTTTCAAATCAAACTCATTAATTAATTATTAATTCGCAATAAATAATAACCGTTGATTGGCAGAAAACGGTAAAGACGTGGTCGTAACATTATGTGTAACATTATTTGTGTGTCACAATATCCTATTTCTTATTTTATAATTATTATTAGGGTTTGTTGTTTATCATTTTAAATGACATAAGTTATATCATTTTAGGAAAGAGATAAACACAGAAAAACAGAAATCATGGCAGAGAGAAAGTTGGTGGTTTTTTTTAATTTAAATTTAAATTTTCTATATATATATCTCTCTTAAAATAACATAATTTTCAGTCATTTAAAATAACAAACACTTGTTATAAAAAAAAAAAATAACAAACACTTTTCCTTATTATTATTGTTGTTAATTAGTTACTTATTAGTCTTTTGAATTTTGTTTGAATAAGTATCGGCATTTTCCATAAGCCTAACAAAGTGATAGAGGTAATCTAGATGGTTTCGATTTTTATGCATTTTATTGTTATTTGGCTTGTATGTGTAATTATCTATTTAATTAAAGTTTTAATGAATAAAATATTAGGTTTACTAATATAGATAATTTATTTATATTGAGCTCAAAATAATATTATTTTAAGACGAAAATTAATTATTTTTGTAATTATAATTTATTTCAGGGTTATAATAATTTTTTTTATTAAATTTTTTAATTTTTTAATTCAAAATAATATTATTTTGAAAACAAATATAGATAAATTATCTACATTTATTTTATAAAAAAAAAACCTAAAATATTAAGTTGAAATTAATTTGGCACATAGAGGGAAGGCTTTTTTGATAAAGTTATTATTTTTTTAGAGAATTGAACCGTTATGTTATATGAACATAAAATTTTCTTCCAATAGATACATAGAAAACAATGGCAGCTCTTTTTTTTTTTTAAGTATTGTTGATCCCACAAACATTGTGTTTGCAGGGGGGTTTTGTTATGCAACATTACAAACATAAATCCTTTTTTTTTTACGGGCAATATTTTTCTTATATGATATGAGATAATAGTCTCTTATATAGAGATATAATTAGGTGAGTCTCACAATTAAAAGAAATAAAAAAAAGAAAAAGAAATGCTGTTTAAATTTCGACAAGTGTATAATATGAGATAAGATTTTTTATATAACATGAGAGAAACATTTTTCATTTTTTTATTATGCGATTCTTTTACATCGCCATACAAAATATATATTGAACTTATAAATGAATCAACTTTGATCAACTCAGCAAAGAACATGTAAGGATCATTTTGATTTAAACTTACAAATAATTTATTAAATAAGTTAGCAAGAATGCTAAACAATATAGAAACTCAGATTGTAATCAACTTCCCGTACCTCTGAATGATCCAGTGAGAATCCTCAGTATTATTATCAAACATTAAATTGGAGGCCATGTGCTACGATTTTATTGCAAGGTTACCTTACGAACTAACTAATCAACTTCGATTCTTCTTCTTCTTTGTTTTGTTTTTTCATGGGTACGTTTTGTACAAGTTGCAATAGCTGCCAAAGCCACCGAAAGTGGGCTTTAGAATACATCACATATCTCTAGTGGAAAGGCCTTAAAACCTTTGGTCTTTTCTGTTGAAACGCGTTTGCGAGGGCCCGTTTGCTTCCTCCACCTCCACCCAGTTCCACTTCACAATGCAAAATCAGGTTTTGTAAGATCTGTTTCACACTTTCTAGGATTCGCCAATTATGTGTTCGTTAAGGGGATAATTTATTCTCGTTAACTTTTTTTTTAAGACTACTTTATCTATCATTTTCTAATACTGTTAGATTATATCTCAACTAATCTTTATTATTTCTATTTTCTCTTGAGATTCTGATATAACGATGTTCGAGAGTGGTAAGTAAGGTAAATGAAAAGAAAGTAGGTAGAATAATATATCTCTATTTCGAGTTCAAAACATGGCTTTTTGACCTCTCTAACGCCAAAACCAAGACATTTCATCTGTTTAAATTTAAATTTTTGTCAAACTATTTATCAGTATAATACGAGTGAAATACATATGGGGAGGATACACATGTTTAAGTCACACATTACCTAGACATTATTTGCATAAATTTCAAAAGGCATTTGTCACATTCTACAAGATGCACATGGGGTGCATATATAATTTAAACACACATGACCAAGGTATATGTGTCTTACATTGTACTTTTTTTTTTGGTAAGGGGGAAAAACCCCAGAAGATCAATTCAAAACAACTTTACGAAAAAAACAAACCGAAGAAAAATCAGTCAAATACAAAGGCCAAATACCAGGAGGGAGGTAGAAAAAATACACACATTATTCTCTAAATAATTGTCTAAGGGATACTTAGAGAGCCAGTCAGCACAACCATTGCTCTCTCGAAAAGCATGAATCAGGTGAACATCCCAGTCCTTCTGTAACCATGCTCGAATATGAGCCACCAGACGAGACTCTCGAGCTGCTCCTCTACTATTGGTGAGCAAAGTGATAACCGAACTAGAATCACTTTCTAAAATACATCTTCTCCAACCACCATCCCAAGCAGCTTGAAGACCTTTTAGGATACCCCATAGTTCAGCTACAAAAGCTGAACACTGCCCTATATGATAAGCCACACCATGTGACCATCTGCCTGAATCATCCCGTATAATGACTCCACAAGCAGCCCCACCACAAGCATCCCGTAAAATACATTGTACTTATTTTTGAATAAGTCATGCATGGAGATCAAACGCAACTTAAATGCGCACACTCCTATACGTGTTCGACTCATATTAGATTGATAAATTATTTATAATAAATAAATTGAACCCGTGAAATGTTGGTAATTTTACATTAAAAGGGTGAAAACTTGCCTTAAATGCCCTCTAGATGGTTTTTCATATATTTTTTTGGCTAAAATATAAGTTAACTTTGATCATGTCTCAAATTATCTATTGTAAATAGTAATTATGTAGTCATTTATTAGTAATTATGTAGTCATTTATTTGTATTAAATAGTAATTATGTAGTCATTTATTAGTAATTATGTAGTCATTTATTTGTATTTATTTAGTCCGTTACTTGTATTTTGGGCCAAGCCCATTAGGTCAAAATTAGGTCAAGAAGTCTCTAGAAATAGAGACCCCTATGTACAAATTCAAATACGATTCAATAATATTTCAAATACCCTTTTATTTCAAGTTGGTATCAGAGCTATCGATCCTGAGGGCTTTGCTTCCGCGCCTATTGTCTTTAGAACAAGAACCTTGTATTCTTTTTGTCTCTCGCTGCCATCAGCCGCCACCGGATTTTTTTTTTCCGGGGACCTCTTGGACCGAGAAGATCTCTGTTATACTGGATCTCTGTTACTGTTCATCGTCTCCATTATTCTTCATCACAAGACAGCATCTGTTCATCACAATTGGACCCTTTCCCGGTGGTTTTTCAACTCCGAACAGACCCAGAAAGAACCGCGCTCACCGGACGATGTTGCTCCAGAAATTTCAGACCGAACGGCCACCGCACGCGCCCACACGCGCCGCCCCTTCAATCGCGAGTGAAGCCCATGCGCAGCCAATCTCACCGGCGCGTGAGATCATTTTTCCGGATCGGACCACCGCGATCCTGATCTTCCCTTCATCCTTTTTCTGGATCTGTGCTCCTCTCTTTGATCGGACATCGTTTGGTATTTATTTGTGATTTTTTTGGCTTCTTGGAGCTTTTCTTTGACCATTTTCTGTGCAGTATGGCCTCTTCTCAAAGGAGTTCTTTTTCAAAATTTTATGATGGTACCTCTTCTAGACCTAAGAGAGATGATCGATGGTGTTCTTATTGTAAAAGAACAGGTCATATCAAGGATTTATGCTTTTGCCTTTATGGAAAGCAATTTGTCTTAGAAAAGATGGCAAAGTTGCGTGGTCAAGCGCATTTTACTTCCTCTGAAATAACTCCTACACCTAATAAGACCCAACCTGCATTTCGTCCATATGAGTTGGAACGGCTCCGAACCATTCTTGATTCTATGAGTAAGCCATCTGATACTAGTGCTTTGACTATGACTGGTATGAGCTCCAAAACTTATTCTTTCATTTCTTCATGTAATGATTTTAAACATTCTTGGGTTGTTGATTCTGGTGCTACTGATCATATGGCTTGTTGTGCTGACTCCTTTACCTCTTATCATCCTACCATTGGAACTCATACAATAGCTGTAGCTGATGGCTCTCATACATCAGTTGCGGGATCTGGTGACATAAACTTACAGCAATCCTTACATCTTAAGGATGTTCTTCATGTTCCTAAACTCTCCACGAATCTTCTTTCTATTCATAAAATTACAAAAGATTTGAATTGTACTGTAACCTTCTATCCTACCCATTGTGTTTTTCAGGATCTCGCCACGGGGAAGACGATTGGTAGTGCTAAAGAGCAAGGTGGGCTGTACTATCTAGTGTCACAATCTCCTGCAAATAAAGTAACAAATCACATCTTGATGTCTCATGGTCAATCAACTGTTGATTCTTTGATTTGGCTTCATCATAAGCGCTTAGGTCATCCTCCATTTAGTTTACTCAAATCTTTATTTTCGTCATTATTTTTGTCTAAATCTGTTGAGTCTTTTCATTGTGATGTTTGTGAATTTGCTAAGCATCATCGTGTGTCTTTTCCTTCTAGTATTACTAAGAGTGTTGAACCTTTTGATCTTATTCATTCTGATGTTTGGGGTCCCTCTAAAGTCCCTCATGGTTCTGGAAATAGATGGTTTGTTTCTTTTATTGATGATTGCACTCGTGTAACTTGGGTGTACTTAATGCGTGAAAAGTCTGAGGTACCACAACTGTTCTTTCAATTTTATAAAATGATTGAGACC